CTGTCTCGTTTGACGAGCTCACGGCTCTGTACGCCGTATCAGACGTCTGCCTGGTCTCCTCCACTCGCGATGGCATGAACCTTGTATCCTACGAGTACATTGCCACCCAGCAAAAGAACCACGGTGTCATGATTCTGAGCGAGTTCACCGGTGCTGCGCAGTCCCTGAACGGCAGCATCATCGTCAACCCCTGGAACACGGAAGAGCTTGCTAACGCGATCCATGACGCCGTCACGATGAGCCCTGACCAGCGCGAGGCCAACTTCCGCAAGCTTGAACGCTATGTCTTCAAGTATACGTCTGCGTGGTGGGGTGCTAGCTTCGTTGCTGAGATGATACGTATAAGTAACAATGCTTCGCCCGGCGCCAAAGGCGGCGTGGTTGGTTTGGGACAGAAGATCCAACACGCTGTCGAAGGTGTTGAGAAGCTCGTGGGCGGCCTAAGTAAAGAAAAGACCGAGGGTGAACAGCCAGCAGACGGAGCAGCGGAAGCACCGGCTGAAGCACCAGCCTCGTAGCGTGTTGCTACTGGCTTTCGTGATGTCGTCGGCACAAGGACGGGTAGGTACAGCAGGAAAACACCAAAAAAAGGGGGAACAAACTAGGGCAAGGGACCAATGTGTCTCCAAAGCACGGGGTCGTTGAGCCTTGATGGGTTATGCATTTGAATTTTTTTATCTGGAGTGTTGGATTATAGCGAGTTATGCTTAGGACGCCGATAACTAAATTCACGATTTTGGAAACTACCTATAGAGCGTGACGACGAAGTCATGCTTGTTTTGGATAGGACAAGAGAGCAATCTGAATAGTTCTTTAAAAAAAAGTTTGTCATAACGAAAGATCATCAGTCAGGTATCTAAGAACAAAAACAAAAACTTGGCTAGAGCCATTCCGTAGCCGACCTCGACTGCATAGAACGAAGAAAACCAGAAAAGCCTTTCCATAAACTCCCAAAATAAACACCGTCAAGAACCCCTCATCGCTATTCGTCCTATGACCGATCGAGCGTACTGGTCAACAAGGGCCCCATGAAGCACCTGTACGATTCTCTGCACATGACTGCCTTTAGTATGGTGAATTCACAATGTCATCCCGGCCGAGCTTCAGACTTCCTAGTCTTCCCGAACTCTTCCTCGGAGTGCTCAGGCGAATGTCGCCGATGATACTCTCGCGAGTTGGCTTCTTCAGACTCTGCCTCGCCACCATGTTAACCTCATTAGGCAGGGCAACAATGACGTTCTTGTCTGAACCAAACTTGAAGTCGTCAGCCTTGACCTCTTCCTCGTATCTCTTGATCTTGTAGGGGGTCTTCATCCCCTTGAGAATTCTCCTCAAACTCCACTCAACAATATAAGGTCCAGTTGCAGTGATGATGGAAGTTTCCTCACTACCGTCGATACCAGTATTGAACTTGGCTGGTGTGAATGTCACGGGCTTGCCGGTTTCGTGGTAGAATTGAGCCACATGCTCAGGAGTAAGGGCCAGTCGACGAGGATGAGGCTTGGAGTCTGCGGAGAAAGGCTTCTCGAAGCCAAGTTTTCCCTCATTCTTGCCCGTCTTCTGTTCAGCATCGATGAGAAGAATGTAGTTCTTGGTGGTACCGAGAATCCAGCGGCCATTTGCAGAGACATCCATACCAATGATGGGATCACCGAGAGCGGGCAACGAGGTCTTGGCGCGGATGCCCAGACGGTCGAACAAGCGGATATCACCCTTGTTGCTGGCCACCGCGATATATCCCTTCTCTGTGGTAGCGAGAGCTGAAAAGTCGTTCTTGGTAGCGTATTGCTTCAGCTCCGCGTCGACAAGCTTTTGGCCCGAAAGACGGGGATCAACACGGAACAGCGCATTGCCAGACACACCCAAGAATGTTTGCTCTGATGTCATCTGTGAAAACTTCTTCTCCGGTGCAAATGTCACGACAGGGATATCATCGTGGACATTCCATTCATCGACGACCTTGCCGTACTCCAAATCCATGCGGTAGAGCTTGTTTGGATCATTTTGGTTTTGCAAAATCAAATCCCTGTCCTCAGAGTGCAACATGACCTTCTTGGGGCTCATGAGAGCGCCGTTGGGAGTGGTTACCTTGGAAATATTGGTAGAGAATTCCAGGCGATTGTTGTCAGTGTGTTTGAACACACCAATCTTGGAGCCACGCACGACGAAGGAGCGATCATGCTTGTAGCCAACAGCAAGTTGAGAGTTGACATCGCCACCCTGGTCTTGAACTTCAGGGTTGTCATATTCTTCGTCCGTATCGTACTCTTCATTGCGAACACCTTCATCATCGGACTGGGTATCTTGTTCCTCTTCCTCTTCTTCCTCCTCTGGAATATCAGGAGCGTCCTCCATGGTCAAATCACCAAACGCGTCGAGAACGTATTCACGATCCTTCTCCTCAACCTTCTTCCACTTGACCTGGTTGAGCTGCTCCCAGATGGCCTGCATGACACCCTCCTGGAACTTTTCGAGCGAATTTTGATCCTTGAAGCGAAGCAACCAGGATCGAGCTACACCATCGCTTCCGAAGTGGTTGAAGATGAAAGACAAGAAGCTGAAGTCAAAGACAGGATTCATCTCAGCTTGGATGGGCATGCCAACCCAAGCCTTGTCCCCACTCTGGATTTGTAGCCAGTACTCCCATTTTCCGACCTCTGAAACAGTAGCAATCACAGATTCGTCCTGCAAAGCAAAGTGCCCAGGCTGGGGATCAAACAGATGAAGCTCAGCAGGTTGGGCTGCATAAATCTCGAGTGCTTCTGGCTGAGTTTCAGCGGCAATAGGGGCACTCTTTTGGGCAACTGGGGTAGCTGGGGCAACTGGGGCAGTCTCAAGTGGTTCGGCCTCAGGGACTGAACGCTTGGCGCTCGTATTGGCAGCAGGCTTGTGTGAAAACATATCTTCGATAGAGTCGTCAATCGAACGGATGATGGTGGGGCTATGAAGAGGGCTGGCTGGAGGAATGGGTTGCTCCTCGTGAAACGTGAACTGATCGAGATCGTCGTCAGATGCCGTTGTGTTTGGTTTTCGGTATTTGCGTTCGTATTGGCACTTCTGAGCGACCAGTAGGAACTGTTCAACTGATTTTGTCGGGACGGAGTTGTCGCACACGAATTCGTATAGGTCTCCGTTATCGCCGCTCAGGTCCTTCCAGGCAAGGACTTTCTCGCCACCTTCTCTGAATTCAACGCGAAATCGAAGCGCTTCATCAAGTAAAAAGGTCTTTTCGTCTCGCTCTGAGGCAAGGGCGTCGATTTCGGCGTCTTCACCCTCTTCGTCGGCGAGCAGCTCAGCCTCGCCTTCTTCGAAGACGCGTTGAACAACAAGTTGATACTGGAACTCTTGGTTGGTGCGTCGGATGCGGATGGCAGAGTCCTTGAATATAAGCTCGGAGTATCCCTTTGGTGAGAGGGGTCGAACGAGATACAGCTGGCCTTGTGGGAGTTCACAAAGAGCTTCCTGCGTACTTGAGCCGAAGATCAGCTTGCCAACTATGGTAAATACGCGGTTAGCAAAGAACATGGATGCAACTGGGAGGCGAAGAGCGTCCGAACAAAGGGCAGAGGTAAGCAGGTTGCTGGAGGGGCCTAAGCTGTTGGTTGGTGCGGGGCAGCTGTTGTGGTGGCCGCGGGCAGTTGCAGACGAGGAAAGGGGAATACTTGCCGTTTCTTAACACAAACATCCTGGCGGCCTACGAAGTCGAATGACGACTGCGTATAAATTGGCAAGAAAGGGAAAAAGTTGTGTGTGGGAGAAAGACACGAAGCGACAACGTAGCAGTCGCGATGCAAAGCCAATAAATTCTTCACGGTCCCTCTTTCCCACCACTCAGCTCAGTGGGGGATATTAGTATGAGTTGTCCGGGTGACGGGATAAACGCTAAAATCAGGTGCCAGCGGCTTTGTTTGCAGGAGGCACTGAGCAGTGATAATGGCCGCCAAATGAACGGCAATAGAGGGCCCTTCTGGCTATGGGCAAGTTTAAATACACTGTCCAAGGCGAGGACGGTGATGATGGCCGTCAGTCAGCTGGGGCAAAACAGACCATGGCATCACAGGGCAAGACATGGCAGACAGCCTGCGTCATAGTATCAGGCAGCTAAGCTAATCAGGATGATGGTGTCCTGGTGAAGGTCCAATCAAACCTTTGGTGGGTTGGGCAAACTGTAATGTAACTTTTGCACTGTAGCAGTGGAGCTTCAGAGACTACTAACCCTCCTTGGGCCACCTAAACACTAGTGACAGTCCCTTGTTGATCTGCCCATGGAGGGGCAGGTCCAGTGGTGGGGTTTCTTATCGTTCTTATCTGTCATCACTCGCTCGCCAGGGAACTCTCCGGAGCCTGCTCAACTGCTTCTTCCGAGGTAGGTAGGTACTTGTATTTCACAATGTTTGGTGCCTTAGAAACTGCTTGTGGAAATTGCTTCATAGGACGGCGGCCCACCACATCGTTGTACACTCCTGTGCACTCCTCTCCGCAAGTCGGTGTGGAATGGATTGCCCAAACCATTTACCACTTAGACGATGGTCAAGAGTAGGTCTGAATGGGGGAAACCCAACAAAACCAGGCCTTGGTTGTTTCAGAAAATGTAGCTGCTCAGTATAACCGCCGATTTCAATGCCGAAAGTCTTGATTTAGTCTGGTGTTAAAGTGTCGTAACTGCTAGACAATAGGACCTTTCCTATACATCTAACCGAGACGTATGCCAGTTGAAGCAAGGGAACAGTAGCAGCGTCAGTTGTACAGCATCTATCTCACGGTACATTTGGGGTTCTGGTCTGCTATTCGCTGAGACCAGCGCCAGTGTCAGCATCTTGCAGCTGAATATGTCATGAAACCCCATTGGCTGTCAATCGGATCGTATCTAGGGTATTTATCCCATTGTTCCAGATCCAAGGATCTGTTCCCTTGCATAAATACATGTAACATGGCATTCGGACAGTGAGCCGACCTCTCCTCCGCCGTTATCGATTGACGCCCATCATCTATTGTCAAAGATGTCCTCTCGGATAGTCTCACTCCCACACGAAGTCCTCCTACTCCTCGCGAGCCATTTATATGGAGTAGAGGACTTCTTCAACCTCTCTTTAACATGCAAGGACATGCGGTCTATCTTGGCAGACATACTGCCCAACAGCATCTTGCGAATCGCAGCACGACAGTCGTTTTTCTCCCCCTTCCCGTCCTCAAACCTGCTTGTAGCAGCAACGGCTCGCGAGCTTGGGAACTGGGCACGCAAATCGACAACCAATGAAGAAATCCTCGCCACCGCCTTCCAAGGCGGCATGGAGGGGTTGCTCGGCCTGGCCCTCCGCCAATGCAGCCTTACAATGAGTCAACTCCGTGAGCTACAAGACATACAATATTCTATCGTCAACCCAGTCGTAAACATCATAGACCAATGCATCGGCCAGCAGTGGCGCGCTATTCCCGACTTCTGGTCCGGGGGCGCAAGCGATGCCGCCTCTATCTCTGCAGATGCCTCAGATACCTTTTTTCACATCGCCGTCTACGGCGAATTATTCTCATCCGATATCGAAACGTACCTGAATGGCAACCAGGCCTTGCCAGTTCAACGACCCCTGACCCTTGATACGAGACTCGAATATCTGAAGTATTGCGTCCCTGATAAGAACTGTCGACTTATGAGCAAAGAGCAAGCCATGTCGGCTGTTGTCCGAGGAGTCCCGATAGATCCCCGACGAGTAGTCAAGGATGTCGGTCCGTATGCCGGATATGAAGATAAGAGCGACCGTCATAGCGAACTTGACGACGACGAACCTCAGAACTTTTACTTTGATGAGAACGATGAACTACATATCCTCTCGACCCAAAACGTTCTTGATGATGGAAACAATGAACCTCGGGCCAATCCATTTACAGACGATGCATTCCGCCGCAATCCGTGTAACAACAATGCGTCTCAGAACTATTTCTTTGACGAGGATGAGGACGATGAGTTTGCTGAGAATGATTGGTTTGGTCGGAATAACGGTTTTAATGACGACAGCGAATCCGACGAGGATAATGCTCGAGAGCCTCAAGAACCACTGAATGACAATAATTTCGCCTTGGTATGGCTACTAGACAGCAGTCGTTGGCGGCCACACTGGCAAGAGGCCCGGCACAGAGTCGGGAAGGACTTTGAAGTCACCTATCGCGACCTCGAGCATTTCACGGCGGACGACCCGGGGAACTGGAGGCAGAGGCTGTGGGAAAACACCATGCTCTGCCAGGGGCTAGAGGGCCTGGGCATGATCTTGCCTGGGCAGCAAGATGCCTGGCTGAAGAAGATCCGCAGATGGAGAAGGAAGATTGCCAAAATGACTGAAGAGCCTCGCATGCTCGTGTTGGGCGAGCAGATTACGTATGACTATCCATATCTGTTTGGAGAGCTTCGTATCTGTGGGCAGGGCTTCGTTGGTGCTACTCAATAGACGAGACCTGCTCCCGATTCTAGCATCTCCTTCAATTTTGGTAGTTTAGGCGTTAGCCATGTAGTAAGAAGATAATCTCAGATATTGTATTTGATCTTTTGGTTAAGGGATACGGTGCAGCAATGAGTTCAGAAGCTTATCTTTCGAGCGATCCAGATATTCAAGCCCCTGGCGGCCATTGTTATCTCCAAAATTGATCTTTAGTAACTTTGATCCAAATATCATCTCGACCTCGCGTGTTATCCCATGCCTCTGAGCCCTCGAAGCCTGAACGGCGTATAAACAAGAGCAACCAGGATGGCGAGACCAAACGGTCCGAACGCAGCGGCTACTCCAACTGATCTATCAAACAAAGGGATAGCCGCAAACAACGAACCGTAAGTGAGAGTCCAAAATAGGCAGAGAAACCAGACAATTGTTCGTTTTAGCCGCCCTTCCCTCGTATTGGTCCAGAAGGACAGGTAAAAGAGCGATATCCACATATATCCACTACACATTGAAGGCATGACAATAAGGGAGAAAGTAACATGGGCAGACTTATTACCTCCTCCAATTCCAGGCCTAAAAAAACGGACAAAGGTGCCTGCCACTAAGAGCCATGAAGCAAACAGCAAACCGCCTGTCTGCGGCAGCATTGTCGCCAGGATCATGGTCTCGTGGTTTAAAAGCCGGTCGCGATCAATAAGTCTCTTAATCTCGGCTCTAACGGGATCTGTCTGACATTCATGTTCAAATTCCTGCAGTGGTGCTACTGGCAGACTTGTCAGGAGGAGGGAGTCGTTTTGGGTCTCCGCATCCGATTCCGTTGGCGGATCCAGGGGCGCAATAGGGATACCAAATAGGGGAGCTTGATCACTGAGATCATTTGTTGTCTCATCTAGACTATCTGGATTTTGTTATACTTTGAATCTCGTTATGATCATATAGAGACTCTTGTTGAGGTCTAGAGCGCCGGGGCGAGAACAGTTGGGACACCTACCTCTTGCTAGGCTGACAGACCCTTTGGTTATTACTTTACCATCTACAAGGCGAGTTAGGAAAGTTCATGCAGGAGGCAGGTAGTATTAACTGGGTGGGCCTAACCTCTGTAGAGACATGTTCGGATCGTTGCTTCGACCACTGGCACGAGTGGTGCGGCAAGCAGAACCACTGGCATGACTTGGCCAAATCCCCATTTCTCGTTATCTTCGTTATATGAATCCGAAGGTATTTCTCGCGTATTTAAAAGGCGTAGAGTTGCCCACACGCCAGAGATAAGGAGTAAGGAGGTCTACGCAGTAAGTAACATGACGAGGGAAGAAGGATCGGCATGAAGGTGAAAGCCTACCTCAACGAGCAATGAACTAAAGAAGTCCAACGTCAATTTGAGACTAAAGAAAAATCCCGTTTTAAGAGGTATGAGGAGATTTGCAAAGTAAAGAGCTAAACCGGAAGGAAGGTGCCGAAAGAGCGACAAGCAAGAGTCTAGTGTCTTGTGGTTGAGATAATCCAGGATGGCATGTAAGCGGCCATGAAGAACTGTAGAGGACACTCGAAATAGTTTCAAGACGCGAATGAAGTAGCCGTAGATGAGTAGTAGAAGAGTAAAAAACATTGTCCAGAAACAATCACGTGAACTGTCCATATCTGCGTTGAAGAAGCACAAAGCTGGGCAATTGACAAGATGGCTCATGTTAACGAGATCGAGGTGACCAGTTGGTATGAAGGCTACAAATATCATAATCTGCAAGGCCGTGATGAGGAGCAATCTCCATATCCGGGCCCACGGGTGATGGTGAAAGTAAGTCCGGAGACCATTGAGAGATGCCAGATGAGATAGTCCAGTGAACCATGCCAGATAAAGTACCAATTGCCAATGGTAGCTGGTTATCCGATCAGGTGATTGAAGTTGGGAATAGCCGCTAATCATAATAGCTAGACCAGTGATGAGTTGAGCATCTGCTATTCTGAGAATGCACTTCGAGGTCAATGTTAGAGATCTGCAATATGAGATAACTATATATATATATACAGAGGGTGACTCAACCTGACAAACATACCTTGTTGAAGAGCTTTTCAGCCCCTCCTTGAGCCTGCAACCATGTCGCAAAAAACACTCGTATGGGGGCAAATAATCTTGTGAGCTGTCCATCAATGGGATTTTTCCGGTGTTGAAAGGCTGCTCTACTGGTAGAGCCTGAGAATGGGTCTCTGCCTGGATCGAATCCCACGATGTAATATGCGATCAGTAGTGCGATCGAAATCCATGATAGAGCTGTAAATCCGACCACAACCTAATGCCATTTATCAGATTGATGATCCCAAAGTTTGATCAAACACTCAATGCTCCAAGTACGAACCCCCAATCCTTCTATGTCGATATCGACTTTCCGCTCAATTTTTGTCGTATCAGTGAGATCCCCGGTATAGGTGATATTGGCGGCACACGAACAATTCATCATAGCATAGGTAGGTGGTCAGCAACATGGAATGTGGGCGCAAGGGAAATTAAGCTCACCTACGTATCTGGCCTTGTGGATGGCATTTGGCTGCTCATTAAGTATTCTTTCGGTGGCCTAATCTTAGCTAGGTACACTACGTATTGAGAGTCTCTCTTCATGCGGCCCATATGCGACCCAAAATTCTGCCTTAAGCACTGCAGTCATCAAATATAGGTACTTTGGGTGTGAGGCTGAACGAAGCCTAAGAAATCAAATGATTAGTCGGCAACCAGACTACGCCCATATAATCTAGGCCTTTCATCAAATGAAAAGCTATGTAAAACACGTGCAAGAACGCATAATTAGTGAAAATGAAACCCAAAAAATACCTCACAATTTCCAAAGCCCAGCCTACAGCTCCTCATTGCTATACGAGTGTGTCTCCCCTCCATCTCCCGCAGCCGGTTTCTTCTCGCCCGCCGCCTCTGTGATGTCATCTGCAATCAGTCTCGCCACATTCATCCCCATCAGCGCGCTCGTCTCCATCGTGGAGATGAAGCTCTCGATGCCTGACGTGTAGTACAGACCGTCCCCGATGATGGGATCCTGGAACGTGACCCGGGGGAGTTCGATCGGGTAGGAGTAGAACCAGTGCGGGTAGTACCAGGAGATGACGTCCACTCCGGCGTCCTTGGTCTCCGTCTCCTCGTGTACTGTGGTGAAGGTCTCTGGGACCTTGGCACCAAGGATATCCGATAGGAACGACGCGCTGACTGCCTCGGCGGAGAAGATCTTGTAGAGATATTCGATCTTGGCTGTCTTGGGGTTGATGACCGTCCGTAGGGTACTGATGGAGTAGAATCCGGTTCTGCCAACACCCTCGGCTCCCTTGTGAGGCTCTTCATCGGCGCCTAGCGTAGTATATACAGTGCTGGGCGCCTTGCTTCCAGGCTCGAGGCCAAAGAAGCCCGGTCGTAGAGAGAAAGGAGAAGTAAAGAGCGTCACGTGTAGCTTGGTGTATGGAATGGTATCAATGGAGTGGCGAATGACGCCCTCCTGAGCAGAAATGTTGCTAAACTGCCATGGTGAGGCGATGATTACCTTGTCAAAGGTCACTGGGTATTCCCCTGTTTGGTTAGAGGAGACGTCTTTGGTCGAGAGCTGATACTTGGGTGCAGAAGCCTCATGGAGGGGACTGAGGGAGATGGACGTCACAGCGGTGTCCTTGTAGACAGAAGCCTTGCTGGATTGAATCATGTTGTCAAATATCTGCCAGTTACCTCCAAGGATTTGGACGGCGCCGTCAGTGGCGAACGAGACCTTGGGCTGATGTTAGAAGCAGGCCTCGTAAGTAGAAGTGGCCAACTCACCATTGTCTCCAAGCCATGGATATAAGCCAAATTGGAAGCATAATTGACCCGCGTGGCAGCTTGGATGATATCTCGGGAAAAATCAGTGTTGATCTGGGTCGAGCCAAGTTAGAAAAACATATGATAAAACCGGCGCTGGGGTAGTCTTGCCTTGTTTTGGCGGAGGAACTGCTCCCCCGTGACGCTGGTGATGCTTGCCAGCTCGAGCTCATAGACCCTCTGCGTGAGTGATCTGAAAGGAAAATACGGCTTCTCATACAACTTCAAGAAGCTGCCAACGACGCGATTTACCATCTTGATGGCATAGTACGGGCTCGTTCCGTACTTCCAGAACATCTTGGCGGCATCCCACCACCACGACTGGCCGCTGACGCTCTGGTAGACAAAGGTCTTGCCGTCCCAAATGGCTGTGATATCGCCCCCTGAGAGAGTAGCTTTGAGGTCATTGACAGATAGGTTGAAGTCACGCGTGGCATTGTACATGATATGGTTTACGTTGACAAAGATGGATGCACCCAGTTCAACAGGGAGTGCGGGAGAGTCAAACGCATTGATAGTCAGTGTACGGCCACCAATCCGGCTCGACTTTTCGAACACTGTGACGTTGACATTGATGTTCTCTTGCTCGGCGTATTTTTGTAAGTGGTATGCGGCTGATGAACCAGCTGCTCCGGCACCTATATGTGGAAGTACCCATTAGCTCCCTATTCTTCCTCTCTTCCTCTTCATATCACGGGTACGGCAGGTTGGGCCATAATAATAAGGGCATGTGAAAGTGATGAATACCTACCGATGATAGCAATGTTCTTAGTTCCGGCGAGTTGGGCTTCTTGGTTGTCACCGGGACTACCGAGAACAGTCGTGACCCACGCAAGGAGAGTGAGACTGGAGACTCGCATCTTCCCGGATGGTCTCGTTGAACCAATCGCTTTTCAATAAAATAAAAATGACTAGATATAGAAGATGGCAATTACGAATTTAATTTACTCTCAAGTTGTATTCATTTGAGCATGGTGATGGAATGATTGGAAGGTAAGACCCACGGTAGACCTAGCATATACAGCGTATAATCACGTGAGGTTACGAACCCCTTACTAACCTTAGGCGTCATCATTGCCTTGCTTGAGACAATATCCAGGCCAGCAGCCTCCTGGTCCTGAGCTCAGATGGAGTGTTTGGCGTTGGTTTGCAATAATTACTACACACGTTTATTGGCACCCTCGAGAGCGTTCTTGATCAACATTGTATTCTCAATTTACCTGGTACAAGCAAGCCCGTCATGCTTGGATCATCCCCTCGCGCGGATTCATTAGCGCGCCCAAATTACATACAGAAAAAGCAAAGATCAAAGTCAAAACACAATGCCAATTCCTTTGGCTGCTTTCGTGGGGGAATCACATCTTAAAAAAATCCATATCTCTCCAACGCCAAGCTTCATGCTAGAAAATACTGCCCTTTTGCCCGCCCATTTGTATATGCTCATTGCGCTAAGAGGCAACGGAAAGAAAGCATCGAATAATAGGGCAAAGTAGAAACGTAAGAAAGATGATTGCCCCTCGCTTTTTGAACATATCAAGAGAGACATTATCGCAGGAAGAGGAGATCATATCAGCTCACGAACTCATCTCGCCGGTGCTGCTATTGGCAGTGGCAGCAGAACTTCCCCCCACGCGCGATCCTTCCGCGGCGGAATCTTTACTCGGCTCATGGGCTAGAGGGATGCCCGCGCTATTAGATCCCTTTTTTCTCCGCCCCGCCCGCCTGGGGCCATTCCCTCTCCCAACACTGTCGTACATCCCCAGTGTGTCGGGTTCGTTCTCTGGTTCTTCTCCATCTTCATCGCCGCTGCTCAAATCCACCCCATCCGGGTAGTCGTCCGAATGGTGAACGTTGGCTTTGCGGCTTGCCAACTCTTCGGAGGATGACTTTGCATCATCATCAAAACTAAACGAGACAGGTTCATCATCGTCATCAGCGGAGGAGTCTGTACTGAATGGAGGGAAGAATATGGCTGGCGGGGGAAGCCGCACAGGTGCAAGTCGTTTGATGCGCCCTGACACATATTCAATCTTTATGGGTCGCCCGGTAGGCTCACCGGACAAAGACGACAAAGGTCCCGGCGAGGAGGTCGACATGGAAGCCAACCTCCCAATGATCCCCTCTGTAATCTCGTCGTCTCTCATACCCTTCCCAGTTGCGGCGGATGAGGTGGTTTCACCTTTCGGTCGCTTGGTGGTTACGACTACCATGAAGTGGTCTTCGGGTAACACGCCGCCTAAGCCACATGGTTCCAAAGTATGAACTTCCAAATACTGCTGATCAGCACTCCATTCCAGGTCCAGGTCAATCTCGCTGGCATCATCGCTCAAATCCGTCGCCAGTCCAGGCATAGAGTCCTCGTTGTCTATATCCATGGCCAGAGAGGAGCCGGACAGCCTTCCCTTGAGATCACTCAAGGGGCGATATGGTAGGGATGATCCAGATTGTGATCGATGCGTTATTGGGCGAGTGCCGCCGGAGGTATCTTGGTTACTCGACAACATATATGCTGTCGGCGATAGGTCTCCAGGATCCCCAGACAAGTCGGTGCAGAATGGAGCACCGCTGTAATAAATGATGGCGCCGTCTTGGCGTCTCTTCCGACGGTTTGACATTCCTGAACCACTCTGACCCCACCGAGAATCGTCCACATTGCTATCATCAACAGGTCCAGTAGATGAAAGTGTTTCGTCCATCGAAAGTTGCCCATTTGATGAGTTTTGATGGACAAAGATGGGTTTGTAATGGAAACTCGCCGAGGACGAATATTGCAGCCCAAAATTGGAAAGTCTTTTACTTGAACTTCCGGATTGAACGTCGTCACCGGTTCCAGTCGAGTGCCCTGTCTTCTGTCGCTTGTGAGATGTATCCAAGCTATCCGTATCAATATCCATGCTGTTGTTCGCTGAATTCTCGCCAGAACTGTCACTACTGAACTTGGTACCTTCACTACCTCCTCGCCAGCGAATCTTGCGTCCGTCAGGGGACAGCTGAAACTTGGTGCTCTTTTCAGAGACAGCTTGACGAACAAAGGCAGGGGTAACGTTGATTATGTGCAATTGTGCTAAGTTGCACAGGAGGTTGAGATATACCCAACCCTCGGCGTCCGGATGTACGTCTTCCGAAGGTTCGCTGAGCAAGCCGGGGGGGACAAGGCCGAGATGCTTAATATAATCCATGTTCTCGGAAGGGACTTGCGTTCGATCAGGGTCGAGGTCTGTGAGACGAGTGGGACGCTGGTCAGGCGCAGGAGGTGGTCCTGTGGGAGAAGTGTTTGCGTGACCACTCCCACTACTATTCCCATTACCTCCAGACTCAGTTTGGTCTCCATTAGAGTTCGACGCTGAGCCATTGTCACGAGAACGGCTTTTCTTTGCCGAGGAAGGCTGCAGCTCGGGAGGAAGGATTCGCGCCTCTCTCGCTAGTTCTGGATTCACCAAACTTGGAGGTTGATTCACAACAGGCCGATGCTGCTCGTCAGGTGCCACAGCTAGAAGGGTAGTATTCCCTGCCTGTGGAGGTCCATTGTTCTGATTTCGGCGAAAACGACGGCCACTTATCTTCCCGGTGAATAGCTGCTCCAGACGCCTGACAACAAGCTTCTTCCTCTCCTTATCCGTCATTAATACATGCCGAGGGTACAGCCCTTCGGGAATATCTCGAAGATAGCTCTCCACTTTCTGTTCAGATGATTTTGCTCGGGAACTCATTGATGGGCGTGCCAGTGAGGTTCCTGAGGAGTTAGCCCCAGTCGACATCGAGGCATAGGCTGAATCGGCCGGGCGGGCATGGGAGCCCGTAGAAGACGATGCATGCTTGGACATCGAACCCGAAGCCGAATACATGTTATTTCTGCTTGTGTGCTTGGAAGTCTTTTCTCGTTTCGACGAAGACCCATTAGGCGAACCCTCCAAACTCGCTGCGAAATCCCGGAGCGTCGCCTCGAGCTCGCGTTTCTTGTTCCTCGGCAAGCCATGGAACTTGATTTCAAACAACTTATCCTTGCGCAACGTATCGGGCCCCTTTTGCTTGTATCGTCGCAGTTGGTCCTTAAGTCGTTGGATTTCCACCGTTAAGTCGTCTATCACACTGCGATATTCGTCGGCGCTGCTGCTCTGGGGGCCTGCGAACTGAGGAGCATCGAGATGGAGGGGCTGGAAAGACTTCTCTTCGTTCGACGAATCGGATTCCTTTTGGAAGAAGGGTGGATCAACTACAAGTGATCAGCAATGATTTAGTCCAAGTTCGCGTCTGGGATTGGTCATACCGTCCATGGCATGACTTTCATAGTTCGCCGTGGGGTTTTTGTTCGAGTGATCGAACCATTTGTTAGGATCGCTTGAACTGGTGTTGTGACTATCACCAGATGATTCTCGTCGAGGGGATGAGGCTGTATCGGTGCCACCGGGAGGGACGGAGCCCGCACTAGCTCGAAGAGATGCATCGCGAGTCGCTCGGTGATGCTGTAGTGTTATCGAATTTGCTGGTGAACTACGTCGTGGGAGGGGATGACCATGCGGGGCTGAGAGTGTTGATGGCGGCTGCGTCCCTTGAGACTTTTTCTGTGGATCGGGCATGTTGCGGTCATGTAATAAAACCTGACAATTCTGAATCTCTGTAATGATCGGCCAACATCAGTGCTATTTGGCAATCATTGCCCAGCACTCTGCGATGGGATCGGTATTTCTAGGTTGGTGTCTGAGACCCTGCCGTGACGTAGGGGGAAGACTCCAGCTAGTTGCTTATTCTCCCTATAGGCAAACCAATGTCAGCTAGGACGCAACGAGACCACTGAAAATCAGCAGTGTTTGGCTTTTGGTGCGAATTGACAGTGATGTGACCTGGTGGTTGCGGGGCTTTGATTGGTTGGGCGGATTGTGGGATCGATCGATCGGTGCTGAAATCGTTGTATGGCGAAAAAGGCGGCGGATAGCTCGACAAGTGTCACAACTTACCAGTTGAACTGGGCTGCATCAACTCAATGACTAGAGCAATCTCGAAGAAAACCTCGCGATGCGGATCTAATCCTCAGATGCCGCAAATGGTGTTTTTATCTCCCCTGCTGGCTGCGATACGTGAGGTTTGCGAATGCGTTTCGTTGGTTGATGGGTCCGGCCACAGGGTAGATGGAAACTGAGGGTTTGGCTGGAATGCTCTGGAATCGTGCCCACCCCTAACGTCGTAACACTTCGTGTCGCAGGTTCGGTTCAATGCTCGACGTTCGATGCTCTGGCGATGCGCCTGTTGAGGGACGCACGAACTCCACGGCAGCTCGAATTCGCTGAACGTATATCTCAGCGATGGCTCGTGGAGTACAGCGACGAGCGAGAAAGAGTTGCACTTTTGGATCCGTATTGTAGATGGGACCGTGCTTCGTATTGGGTGCGCTACAGGCGTGGAGAAGTGATTGCGCGAAACCGCTTTCTGGTCGGTCAGTCCCAGTACTTTTTGCTCGATCGCGGGTTCGAAATAAGTAGAACCGAGTTCGGTGAGAAATTCAAGGAGCGCGAAGATTTAGACAAAGATTAAATGACAGACACGCTTAGGTAGATTGAGGGGGGTTCGTAGGTCATGAAATGTTAAGGATTCTAGATCTGGTCGATACCACGGACGGACCACTAAGACAAATGGCTGAATGGATTTAAAAGACTGCAGCAGATCTCACGTGATTGGTAAAATGGAATGGTAGAGTCCGACTGAAGATATTCGGAATGTCTGAATTCGATTCATGGAAGAGAAGGAAACGGAGCGGCCCATGACGATGGAGGGCGGCGATGGCCCAGGGTCGTGTGCTGGAGGCAGGACTTGGAGCGAGGAATCACAGATCGCACGCTATTTGCGCCGATTCCCACGACTGACAGGGAGCGTTTGTGATCAGGAGCCATCGCTAGGTCACCCCACCACGGCCCACAGAAGAGCCACTCTGGGAATAGCCGCTGCCGCCTCCTGCTTCCTCCCATTCGCCAGGCGGCCCAGGGCGTGGCATCATACCGGGGGCCCCTGGAGTGCCATTAATTCGCCTCCCATCAAGATTTGGCACGAGAGCCACAGCGGTCGCGATGCTCGATGGAGAGCGACAAACTCGATGCTCCTGGCATCTCCTCCATAATAAGAGTTTTTGACACATGGCGAAGTGTTCGGTACTGCAGCTGTGGTTGCTCCAGCCCTGTTCGCCCCGAAGAGGCTGGTCTGACCCCCCCTGAACGTAGGTCATAGGTATTACGGCCTCTGATCCACTAAGAACCCCACCAGTCAAGTCCAAAACCTGACCAAAACTTCTCCAGCTGCAGCAGTTCCCTGCGCTCCCCATTTCTATTACCACGCTTCCTACCCGAGTTCTAGGTCCCTAGGCCAGTCTCCTCTCAACTGAGAGCTTGATACCACATACGTCATAGCTCTGTTGTTCTGGCAGACACTTCAATGCGCGGAACCGCTCTGGCCATTTCATGTACACGAGAACACATTATTACTCTCTATGCATCCCGACAAGCTGGACCAGCAATACAGTGGGTGGTGGAGGCTATGATGATCCAGTGCAGTGGGCAAATGCCGTGACAGTTGGTGCCTGGATGCGCGCAACCCTGGCTGGACCCTTGGACGATCCTTACTTTTCCCACCGCAACTGACGTAGCCGGACCCCCTCCCAACGAGTGATCTGCGTTTGATGAGCAGCTGGCCATGGCCGTATCCCTTGCCGTGGGCTATTTCTGACTGCATCGCCGGATAAGGAAGCATCCCAGACAGCTGCGCCATCAGACAATGTCGTCACTCGATCGTTCCAGCATATTTCGCTCGAGTTCTATCTTAAATGAAGCTCTATGGGCTGTTGCGGGATCGGTACATGAAATGCTTGATGATGTCCCGGATCCGTCTCACGATGTCGATCTTTGACGATCAAGAAGGCGACTATCCCTACCGAAACTGCTGGAAAGCGACAGCCTTTCGATGATTGGGTGTGCCACTCCCGTTCAAATCGTAGATATGCCGACCGGGAGATCATCCTCATCTTCTCAGCGTGAGAGTCCAAGGAGATGAAGTTTTTTCAAGACGACGGAACTTCCCAAGCTGATCCCATGTCTTGTTTGAGCTGCACGGGTGTACTCTCGCGCCCATCGTGTGTGACTTCCTCAGGGAAGTATCACTAATCCTCTGGGTAGCTTGTAATGGCTGACTGAGCATCTGCCCATGTGAAAAGGCGATATAATGTGCATGGAATCCTTCTCGGGGACTAGTTGGTGATAGGCTGTAACTCCATCAAGCCGCTTCTCACATCGTCACAGTAGGTGCTCTTAGCCGGGTCTATATATTTTAATGTTCCTTTAATCTCGTAGTATGTAATGTGGGTGTTAGTCCCTGGTTAGTTGGCCAAGTTGCCTGATCTCAAAGTACCTTGGTGCCACTCTTCACCCTCTTTACCCGATAGCCGTCTCGCAATTTGATAAGCCATCATCCATTGATTGACGATATATATCCTGAAAACAATGAAATGGGGGCTGGCCATAGCGGCTAAGGCAGCTTCCCTAGCTTCATGCGGGCCCTGAGATCTGGAACTCAAGAGAGGCGAGAATTCTGGGGAGACGCAGGTTCTAGGCCCTGCGCCCCAACTCAGATCCTGCTGCACATCGGGGCAAGGAAGTCGTTCTAGAACCACGAGCTTGCATACGCATCTCTTCAACGGATCCCGGTGAAGGCGACTTTTGATGCACTCACCACCTGGGGCTCGGTGGCGTGGGCACCCTTGAGGCTGATTGTGCGCATAGGTGAGGGGTTGATTTTGGCGCCTCACATCAATGATGCATGCATATCGGCTCTTCGTGTCGTACAAAGACCTAGATCGCGGAAACGGGTTCCTTAGCGGCTCCTTTTAAGGTGCATTTTGTCAGCGTAAGCCGATTATCTGGTGCATCTGGCGATTGATGTTAGACTGGCTTAGATGCTTGGGTGTAGCTAATTCTACCTTACTTTTTGATGGGCGAGATAAGAGATCGTTTGCTAAGCAGCTCTCTCAAGCTCAAGTGCTTAAGGAGTTAGTGCTACAGCATTGCAGGTGTTGGTTGTCCTTGAACAAAGGCTTCATGCCCCGCAGCCTCGCCTTGGGATAGCTGAATGCGGACAGACCATGATTATTGAAGTGTGCGCAGGAGCTACCTCTGTTGCTCAGGCAAGCCAATCACCCGGCTTCACGTACGAGCGCCACAGTAGAGTGATCAGCCAGCCCACCTCTAGGTAGACGAGCATGTAACAGAAGGTTAGGACGTAGTCAGGGCGCCCAGAGCTGCGACCTGTGATAGCCTTTGGAGGCGCCGTCTGAGCCCGTCGTGGCAACGGGGGGATGGCAGCAATTAAGTTCGGGCTGGAGTGGCTTGCGGGATTGAGTCCGAACATGCTGGATGGCTTCATTGGTGCTGGGTCTTTTGAGGCGGGGATTGGGGTGTTGATATGGGAGTAGGAATCAAGGGTGACCAGGTAGTAATAGGAGATGAAGTTATGTTGGATTGCAAGTCAGTTGGTGATTCTGAGCCGGTGTGCTGGCATGCAGCTTCGTTTTCACACTGTACAACACACTGTAATGCTATTGAGAGTCACAGTGTTCTACAGTGCGAGTGATAAAATTACCGGCTGCCAATTAATCTTTTGGCTTGCAACACCTCCACGCTCAAGCAAGTCTTAAACACGACCACACACACTGCAACCTCTCCTAGCAAACCAATTCCACCAGCCAAAATGTCCAACGAGCCTCACCCCCTCGCCCTCCCCCCCTCCTTCTCCCCAGACACCCTCGACGTCCTCACCGAGCTCTACAACGTCCTCCAAAAGGTCCACGAGACGGCCCGCGAGAGCCTCCAGAACCAGGAGCAGGACCCGGCCACCGGTGCCCCCAAGCTGCCCACGAGCACGAGCACGCCCTCGGCGGCGGCGGCTTCGGCGGGGGGCGACGGCAAGCGCCTCACCTTCAAGGACGTGCCCAACGCGACCGACGGCATCAAGCACAAGCTGCAGCGCGCCCGCGAGCAGGTCCGTGGCCTCCCCGACATGTCGCGCACCGTCGCCGAGCAGGACGCCGAGATGAGGGAGCTCGAGGCGCGCATCGAGAAGCAGAGGGCGCTGCTGGAGAGGCTGAGGGAGGAGGGGCTGGCCTTTGGGAAGAACGACGCGCCTACTGGCGATAGGATGGAGACTTGAGGCTGGCCTTTCTGCATCCTGAGACTTTTTTCTACGGTTTCTACGGTTTCTTTGGCCGCATTCATACACCTGCCGACTGTTTATTTGGGCTGGGGATGGTAAATATGGGAGTTACTTGCATGTACGGCGTTCTGGGGAAGGGAGCATTACAACAAGCATGAGAGCTTGTCGTTTCATATGCGGTGTTCAGGCGTGTATTTGAATTAACTAGACGGCACGAGAGCGATATCGCAAGATGTTTTAATTTCACGTCCGTGGAATCCCAACTTTGGCCAAAATCTCGTCAACGCTGGCACCTGGCTTCCCAGGTACAATGCCAGTCCAAACCTCGGGGCTGAGCCTTTCTTCCTCTCCGAGAATGCTCCAGTTCGGACTGTGCCCTGACTTGAGCCACTTGAAGTCGTCAACCTGGTCCCACTGGTTCTCACTCGTTTCTTCTGCTTCTGACACCTATGGGGTAATGAGGTCAGTATGGTTACACAGGCGCAGCTTGGGGTGGCGGCGTCAGGTTGGGGAAGAATCCTCACATAACATGCTGGGAGGGGGGCGAACCGCATTCCCGAGCAATCCTCGATGATAGGATGACTACCGCAGTGAAGATAAATATCAACATTCTTGCACTCATGAATCCTGACCTGCCGTGCTGCCACGACTAGGATGCTATCCGTCACACCAGTGATATGAACCGGGCCGTTCACACGACCGGCAACGACCAAGCTTGTCTTGATGTTTTTCAGAGAAAGCCCAGGGAAAGCTGTCCCCCCAGATGTTGGGATAGACATGTCGATGATGCAACCCGAGAGATCTGTCAAGCTCCCCGCGGCCGTTGCTCTCGCCGCCGATGACGGGAGTATAATGTGCAGGCCGGTTTGGTTGGTGATTCCGATGCTCCGAGCTGCAGAGAAACTCGGCTTGCGCACAGACGAGGAACTGGGCCGCGAGAGCTCCTCATTGTAGTTCTTAGAAGAGGGGAGCTCGCTCACGGTGTCCTCCACGACAGCCGCCGATGACTCCTCAACGTCCTCTGACAGTGTGTTCTTGCGAGACAAGCTGCCAGGGTTCAAACGAGGATCGTTCTCGGGCGCACCCATATCGACGTAAACGGTCTTGGTGGTGCGCTTGAATTGGAACCGCGACTTAGGCGTGATCTTGGTGACGGTTTCGTTGAGTGCATCCTGAATGTTTTTCACGGCCTAGACGGGTGAGTAAAAAGCCCCCAGATCAAGACAGTAGGGAACACCTACCTCGGAATACTGTTTACGGTCGTAGGATGGTGTGAAGTCGGCAGCATCAGCGACTTCGTTCTGGAGCTTTGAGATGCCTGCAAGGATATGATCGATGGCTTCTTGACGCTCTCCGCCAACATTGGCCAGTGATTCAAGCTGGCTTATCTGGTCTCGAAGGTCTAGACACAAGGGGGAAAATGACAAATATACAATTAGTGTCTGCAAGGTTCTGCCCAACGTGTTGAAGAATAAAAAAACACGATTTACGGTGAGGACTTGCTGCTTACCGGCATCGCTTTCGAGGAAATGGCGGTAGAACCGCTCTTTGGGATCCATGGTGCTGCTTCGATAAAGTACCTTGGGCCCTGCCAAGGGATGGGTTGATACTTCGGCCTGAGGAGCCATTGAATGAGTATTGAACTACGGGAAGCAAGATTGGTGGGCGAATTCTGATGTTGTGATGAGAGGACGGCTATAATGGTGGCCCGAGGAGCTTGGGGAAGAGAGCTTGTTTACGTGATGGGGGAAGGTCTAAAACAGTCTCTGATGGAGTAGTCTGGAGCAAGGGATAGGAAATCAATGGTAGAGAGCAATTGAATGCAGTATTAACGTGGCACAGGGGATTTTCTGATCAAGCGAACTTACAGAAGCTGTAAATTCCCAGACCAAAACAGGCCACAGGCTTCTTTTATACGAGCCGGCCAGCTGGTCAGTCTCTCATCCGCTCTTCCTGAATCGAGGGCGAGCACAACGGAGCTAAGCAACCGACACGTGAAGACCCTGACGAATCTCTAGCACTGTAGTGGCTGAAACGAAAGACAGCAATGACATGTATAGGTAGGGATGGCGCACGCTAGAAGCAGGTCGGAAGGGTGCTTGATAGGTAGGTCGGTGAACTGTAGAGCAGGAGTCAATTTGGAGGAGGGTGACGTCAAATGGCAGGCTAGTGGGTTATATGCTCGGCACCCTAGTCGCGGTGACGGGGAGGAGATATGCAGAACCGCCTCGAAACAGTGGGATGTGTTTGGCGGAGGTGGTGCTAGGTCTCTGGGGGAGGCATCACGCGACTGTTGTAGGCTCCCACCTAGTGGTGTGGTTTGGTGGTTGTGGTGGATAATGGTGGGGTGATGGGCCGGGCTGGACTGGCTCTACGGCAGAATGGGCCTGTTCTTCAATTACAGCATTGAACGGATGTTGAACTCAGCAGGTCAGGCCCAGTAATCCGTCCCTACTTCACAGCTAGGTGCTGCCATAGCTATGCGTCCATGCACGCACGCGAAGACTCGGAACCATGATAGTACGACTCTTTCTCGGATCAATCGTCTGCAAGCCATGTTCCATCGAGCTGTGCCATTATTCAATGCATCTGCACCTGGGTTCCCCGACGTAACACCCCAACCCTACATCTTGCCATGCTGCAGACCGGGCAGTCCAGTGACGCCCCTCCACGATGACTCGTGCTTGCTAGCGAGCAGTTGTGACGTGAAGTGCATACTTCATTGATTTCTGTTTCGGGAATCCTGCATATAACTACTGCGCACGTCGGGCAACACTCTGCTATTACCATGGTGTGATGCTGTCATGGCAGCGGCATATTCGTTATTTGTTAGTATATCTGGACACAAGATTACGGCCGTATACACTGTCGTTACTTGCCCGATTAAAGAACTCTGGGTTGCATTGACGCTATGTTTGAATCCGTGCTTCTAGCAACCATTGACTATAATAATAAATACAGGAATTGTGTAGCAAGTGATACCAACTAAAGATTCCCTCAAAGCAAAGAACGTTCATTCCTTTGTTTGCTCAACATATTGATGACATGCGAATGAGGAGTGAGAACCAACGGAATAAACCTGTGGAACGAGCTTGGATAGGCAACATCCTAACGTCTTGCCGTTGACCGTCCTCGACTGTTAGATTTAGATTGAGACTTGGTGATTGAATGGCCTTTTGAGGGTAGGAGATGTCTTGGTTCACTCCTGCATCTGTCGTCGCCGTATTTTCTTACGCAGTCTTCGGCAGAGGGCTGGGCTTAGCCACTTATCATTATTCTGCTCGCGTTTTAACTTGAGCCGGTAGTGGAAAGGGATCTCGATTTTCCTCCACGCCGGCATGTTTTGTGCGGGAACAACTTGCCCTCCGGGTGTGGTCAAGACAATAATCGGAACCGGGGGCCTCTCGGGGATCCTGGCGATCAAGGTGCAGGCGGCTTCCTCATCTTCTTCAATCTTGATCGGCACTGGAGTGAATGATGGTGTTGCAGGTCTGTTGGGCCCTGGTTCTGAAGCTTCGACCAACTTTTTGGCCATGGGAGTAGTCATATATTTGTGAATTTGTTCCACCTCGTGTAAGAACAACTTCACACCCGGGTTGCCTGGGCGTGGGAAAAGCCTCTTCAGGAAGCGTAGCTGCCACATGTTTGCTGAGGTATTTCTCGTTAACTCTTCAAGGTCATTCATGGGAAACACCGTCGCATCTACGAACCTTGTTGTTGTGAATAAACACAAGATTGTCTTTCTAGGAACGCCACGAATGTGAAGTTGATGTTGGTTGATGTTGAAAGAATGAACAATGGCGGCTCAAGTCGAGAGCAGTTCTGGAATCCGAACGAGATGGCCACAGATTTGTCGACGTCAGTAAGATGCTGGGTTGTATAGATGTGATAGTTGAAATAGAAACGAGATGTGGAATGCGCGAAGAAGAAGAGGAAGAGAGAAAAAGGTTGAAAGGCGTAGGAGGAAAAAGTAACCGTAAGGAAGAATACATTCTGAGATTGTCTGAGAGGGATACAATAGGGCGGGCGGCTTTGACCTGAAGATAATGTGAGATGAAGGCTCGTCTGAAAATAGCTATTGTGAAATCCGAACAATGGTCGATGCAGGATACGCTGTTCTTAGCTCTTGCCTTAGCGGCTAATCAACGTCAAGTGAGAATCATCTGATGTGTAAAATTCTATTTGTATTCATTTAGTGGTTTGCTCTAGCTCTGCCGTTTCCTGCCCGTTTCCCCCAGTTTTGTATTGACGGATTGAAGGGCCTCTGTGCAGATTTCTTTTGTGTCTGTGGTAGTTCAACACTGACTGCCCTCCACATTTCCCCAACCGTTGCCCTCCTTGCTGGGAGCATGCTGTATTGCAAACTATACAAATTCCTCCTGTCTATAGGGGGCACAAACTTGCCCGTCACCAGACAAAGCAAAACCCGTGGCGAGAAGTAGTGCTTTCGGATCCGTTGAGCCATTTGGAAATACTGTTGGAACATTACCTCGAAGGGTAAGGGGATAGACTAGAAGTGTGTTAGAGGCTGTCCACGTCGCTTGACCCGATACCACTTGGTAAGACTTTATTCAGCATACCTTGAAGTAGATGACGGATGTAGGCGTTCTACGCGGTACATCGGGTGAGCTGGGGTCAGAATTAAGATTATGTTGGGTATTTCGAAGTTCAAAGCGAATGCCGCCTGTGATTTTTGTTGCATTAGTTCAACCGTACCTCATTGTTGGTATCACGAATTAGGGATGCTCACCTGGCAACCGTCTTGGATCCTTGACTCTCAGCATCAGAGCAAAGAGTGGGAAATGGTTCAAACAGGAGAGTAAGGTGTCGAAGACAGCCTTCAAAGCGATGATGATCATCCTCGCGACGGCAAAATTAAGATAAAAGACGACCACGGTGGGTAGGAGAAAAAACAATACTGTGAAGAGAATCGTGCCCACGAGAAGCTGATCTAGATCATAGTCGCAAGAGTCGATACGGTTGCGCAGAACATTATGCTTCTTGCCACGAAAAAGATGGAAGAGGGATACAAGAATAGTCAGCTGCCAGTGGTAAATGCGAGCTGAGGCGAGGTAGAAGGAATAGATGTGGACGGTCAAGGCTGAGACAAAATCGGACACTAAAGCAATGGGCATGCTGGCTCCCGCAAATGAAGAGAATCCAACAAACCAGACGATTTTTGGCAAGGCAGGGCTCAACATATAGACACAATCTATATAAGTCACTTGTGGTTAGCACCCACGTCACATATGGATTGTGTATTGGAGGGCCAACTTACTTGACCAGTAGTCAATCACCCAAAGAAACAAATCGCCAAGGAACGTAGCAAGCTCAGCGTTCAATTTCAGGCCAGCCGGCCAGCCCATGAGCCAAGAGATACTACTTTGCAATGCTTCCACCGTGTATTTGCGAAGAATGTCGTTCACCTGCTCAGCAACCCAGTCTGCATGCTCAATTATGTAAGAGCCAAGGGCAAGACCGATGATTACGTCGTTGGCAACCAGCCATAGACTGTTGTAGAAGCGAATGTAGTCGGGGTGGCTTGTTGTTATGCTTGCCCAATTCGTATTTCGTTTGCGCAAAGTGACATATTGCATTGGCCAATAACAGAACTGCTGAAGCCTGATCTCAATTTGCTGTGCTGTTGCTGAGATATCCTTCAGGGCGGCAGATCCTGGTTTGATTCGAAACTCCAGGACGGTGAGAAGCATCTCCGCCAGTATTCGGTGACCCAGCAAGAAGAAGATGAATGTCTTTTGAATAATTGGAAACACATATGCGGCGAAGAGGTCGAGGAGCTGCATATGCACAAAGTTCCGCATTGTCGCGGCGGACTCAACCACCCGCTCAGAAACACTAAGACTTCGCTTCGGTCTGGGTCCTAGCCTCCCGACATTCTTTTGTAGAGTCTTCTCAAGCTCGAAAGACCAGTTCACCTGGTTAACAATCTTGGGTAGCGCCTTGTCCCTCGCCGAAGGGATCCTCTTCGTGATGGTATGCAACTTTAGCTTCTCCACCAACTTCCGCTTCGCCTCTTTCGCCTTCCTTTCTTGTGTCTCTTCGGCGCTTTCTTGATCCTCACTCTTCATGCCTTCTTCACCATTTTGATCCCCAAGCGCGAGGGCTATGGGGTTGAGAGATATGTACTGCATCCCCTGGGGTTGGGGTCGATCGTAGAGAATGATTTGAACGCTGGATGCCTTGGGGCATGTGATTATCGGTACTTGTAATGTTGGATTCGTCCTGGCGCAAACCCAGGAAGGGTCGGCGGTTGTGGGATCGATGACATTGGAGACGCCGAGAACGTGCATCGATGTGTGTCCGCATAGCTCGTAGAAATGCGCAGGAGGGTATGGTGAATTCCGGAAGAGAGTTCCGGCCTTGAGGTGAAATTCGACATTGCGAGGCTAAGAGCGATGACAAGTCAGTCCAAAATCTGCCCAGAACGTACTTGGGACACCGTGGTTTTCACAAACATCAGTGTCGTCTAAGATCGCAACAACGAACACGTCAAGATTCGAGTTTCTCCATCCCACAACGACCCCTGGACGATCGGACTTAGGGACGTCGGTCGGCCAGAACACTCTCATCAATCCATCATGCTCTACCATATCAAACGGCGGGCCCTCAATCGATCGCCCGCACGCAGTCTAAAAGGATCCTCGCCGCCGTAGCTGTTCTCGTGCAGAAACACCTATACCGGGTGTGCGTGGATGCTATGCAAGGTCAGTTCTTGGCTCTCTCCACCCCATGCCGAATCCGCAAACGTACCAGTTTCGTCTCCTTCTGTGCTACCAGCGCGACTGGAACAAAGATACCAAAGAAAATAGTAGTCAGAAGGGCGAATCCCTGGGCTGCACGCGCCTACAGCAAGAAGAGTAGACATGTTAGCTTGCAAATGGCCAGAGGGGCAAGGGGGGTTGCGTGGTCGGTATGTGGTGGAGGGCTTACAACTACACCGTATTCCCAGGCAAAAATAGCAAGCTCATAGAGGCGGGTGACAAGGTCCCAACGGGCGGTAATATAACCAGATATGAAGATGCCGATGGCGAGAACCGAGAATGGGTGCATTGAGCGCTATTGCATCTAGCAGCGCACACCTACTCGGTCGACGCTTTATGTTGAGAAAAGATGGGAAGGTATGGGGGGGATGCGCCGAGTCGCAACCCAAGCACACGGAAGGTTGGCGCTAGGAGCGGACAGGGACGACCTACCTTATCAGTAGCCCCGAATAGCTGTCCCTGGGAAGGCACAAATGAGGAGAGCGGCAGTTGGGGTTGCACGTGTCTTGGCGCTGGATCTCTTAAGAGGAAAAAACTAATAAGGGGTTTTCTATTAATCTCCATGGCGCGCCTGTTTCGTCGGATATTTTCGCGCCATCTTGCCAGCCTGTTTTCTTGTGCCCCCTCCAAGCCTACGTAAGGTATTATTTAGTGGAGGCTGCTACCGCTCCCTGTGCCTTCTGCAAGTGTTTGTATTGGTTCACACCGTGTCCAAGGCCTCAAATTTGGCAGGAGCTTCGAGTACAAGCGAGGTAGGCCCATCTAGTAGCTGTGAAGACTGCAGCGAGTGGAATTGGTTCCTGCTTCAGCCATCCTGCCAAATGCTAAAGAAGCTTATCCTTGCATGCTAATCATGGCACAAAAAGCTTGGTTCTCCCTAAGACGTCATGGGTTGGTTGTCTCAAGCCTCTTAATGGCACAGGTCTGGACAGGGATTGACAGCCACCCGTCATCTAGTAACGTAGTACGCGCATAACATTGGTTAATAATGGAGGAGGAGAAAAGATCCATCATATTTCTTTTTGATTCAAGTGGAATTCAGGTCCGCAGCTCTTCATAAGGTAACAAGCTCATATTGAAAGTACCCTAGATGCCAAGACCTGCAAATTGAGAATACGGGAACCTTCCGGGGTAGATCAAAGCATCGCTTTGGAAGCTTTCGCCAATCGGTGTAGTTTCTTGGTGCTTACTGGTACTCTGGCACTTGCTGGCGGCTAATTATGGCTCAACGTGAGCCGAGTTCCCATGTTTTTGCTGGTAGCATACACTCACCTGGGAGAGTAACCGAAAAAAAGATGAAGGATCAGAGGTGGCCAGAGTGGATAGCATGCCAAGGGCAATTAGAGTAGCTTTGAAGATCTCTCCAATATATGAGCTGGTTCTCTCTGAACTGCTACTGGTTCGGATTTCTGGCCAAGACTTTAAACAATCAATGATGGGCTGACCTACGATGGAATATCTTAGTCATCATATGGATTGTGGGATGACTGTTAGTGACTCCAGTGCAGAATATATGGGACATACTAACACAGAGAACCAAGCTCGGTATCGGCTCAGCCTTAGCACCTGGAGCACCAGGCGGCCCAGAAATCGCACGAGACCCATACGACCTCCAACAAACTGCATGCCAACAATTGCGCTGCACAGGTAGCCAGAAATGGCGTCGGACAGTGGCAATGGCAATGGTAACGGCCTACCACCTCCGGGCCCGAACCAAAAGACCCTGAACGTCTGGTCCAAACCCATCGACGAGACCAAAATCGGCGACGATGAGCGCCCTACCATCTCCAACGCCGTAGCGATGATCAAGCCCGACGACTTCAAGAACGTCGCCAGCACGCCCTGCGCCCGAAACGCACTCCTCACTGGTATTGCCGGGGGCTTCGGTCTCGGTGGCGTGCGATTTGTCTTTTCTGGTTCGCAATTGCCCTTCTGCTCAACATCTATCGATCGGGACGTATTGTCTAGGTGGTGGCTCTTATGCTAACATTCCCGGTTTCTACGTTCTAGGTAAAATTGGAAAAGCAGCGAATTGGGCGGTCGGGACCTTTGTATTTGCGAGCATGGGACAATACGAATACTGCCAATACCTGCGACGATGCGAGAAGAGAGACATGAAGAGAAACATCGAAGTCATCAACGAAAGCAAGAGGGAAAAGGCAAAGAAGTTAGTCGAGGAAAAGAAAGAGAAGGTAAAGGCAGAGCAAGAGAAGCTAAAAGAATCGTCAAAATCGTGGTGGCCCTCGAAATGGTGGTGAGAGGAAAAGTTACACATGTATAAATAGCTTGGGAATCCCGAGGCTTGTACAATACTTGGCAACGCTCGATGTACGGATAGACATATCATCCTGGAAAATCTTTTGGGTCATGAATATATAATACGCAAGAATTGGATGCCAGACGTGTGTCAAATTAGCTAGTCTTTATACTGACCAACGGAGAGGCTTCCTGCAAAATGGGATACAGCCAGATATAATATAACCACAAAGGAAAAGCCATGGGTTCCAGTCTTGTGGCTTGGAACCCGCCAATACTTCCAAAAAGAAAGAAAAAAGACGTCGCTAGGATAGCCGATGAGCGCTTGGTACAATAATCCTCCTAAAAACAGACACCCCCAACGCCGTATCATGATATTGAAATGAGATCAAGTAAGCCGATGGCTTTGGACAAGAACGATTAGACGAATGACCAATGCAATGATTTTGTCTCCCCTCACGAAGTCATTGTTACGAATGCGAGGCTTTCTCCTTCCATAAACTTGACCTTTCGTCGGGCGGGCGATTGCTCGGAGGAAGAAACAATCTTGATAGCAGCGTGACGCCTTTGGCTTCTCTTGGCCCTGGCGTCGCTTTCTTCTCGTTTACGATAATCGGCAATCTGTTGGCGTCTCTTCATCACTCTTGCCTGAGCAATGGCGGGCGTAGGTTTAAAGCCCACGCCATTGATACCAGTACCGTCGTCGTCTTTGTCTTCGGGATCATAGATGGTGATCTCGTCCTCCTGCCAAGTAAGCGCGGCACGGACTGGGTCAACAATCTCTCTCTCGTCCTCATCCTCATCCGCCATCCCGGGTCGCCGTGGGGGTGGTGTGCCTGCTCTTTTCTTTTTCTTGATTCTGGGTTTTGGCTGCTGGGAAGTGGGTTCAGCTGGGTCGGTTGTGGCTGGCTCGGCCCTTATCATGGTATCGTCCCAATGCAACTGTGCAGCCGGCTTGAAGCTTGCCCCTGTGCCAACCTCGCCCTCGGAGATGGTGACTGGAGCATGGGTATCAGATTCGCCAAGTCCATCAACCACTATGGCCTCATCTGGTTTCCGTCGTTTACTTGAACAGCCGCTACGGTCGTCGTCACCTTCAGGTACCCCGCCCCCACCTTCAGCGGTCTCGATCAGTAGGCCTCGGAATCTGTGTGCAACATTGGATCTAGGGCTGTTGCTGCCATCATCACTCGAAGTGCTCTGTGACAGGTCAAATGAGAATGGGATAGGCGTGAGTATGGTCTCGGTCCCTCGCTTCCGCTTGGGTGTAGCTTTTGGCGTCTCGGCCATTGTGGACGGCCGGCTTGGTGTGTAGTAATGAAGAAATTGGATACGTGGCGCAACTCAGCACAAGGAGAAGGAGCAAAACTAGGAAGAGCTTGCCCTGTGCTTTGACTCACTTCCTCGCGGCCATGTTGAAATAGCAAAGGAGGGGTTTCAATTAATTCAACTCGAACATCGCCATAGGTGTGGTGAGTTGTTCACGTGGGGTTGAACTCGGTGTGAGGCAAATGACCAGCCACCCAGCACTTGCTCACTAGCACTTCACTCTTTAGCACAAAGACGCTGACAGTGGCGCCAGCCTTGGGGTGAATCAAAGAGCTGCCCTGGCGTGTCAATTGGTTGCAGCACCCCGAGCCGGGAAGTGCCACTACACCCGCGCACCCATAGCGGTAAAGCATGGATGCATTGTGCTGCATGACTGATGAGCCGCAATGGTACCTTGGCGCCGTTATGTCTGCCTGTCAACCACCATGTGGCACGTGGACATTTACTGCCTACCTGGCCATCTGATCTGAATAAGTCGCTAGTGATTTTTCTGAGTAGGTAGCTGAGAGGGATAGATATCCTGTCGCGCAAATGCTGTCGGTGAGGAGCAACCTAGCCCTAACCAAAGTGAGTTGCTTCAGAATTGTTAGAAGTCGAACGATTTGGTTAGTTGGACATCCTACGATTAGGTACATTTTGGTAGGGATGGCATTACCCAAAGCAGCAGCATTTTGCTTTTAAGCTAGGTGTGGCATGGGCCTAATCGACAGCACTCAAATTCATCCTGCCCGTGCAGCAGGGTGACCCTCAGCGGTGCACTGGTACAATTACAGTGTCATCTTGCCCTACAACTGTGCCCATCTCAGACGGCACAGGTAGCTCAAGCTCGCCATCGGTGTTATTTGTGAATCCAACTCAGCACCTCGTGCTTATTCCGGATGCATTGTTGGACAACTACCTATGCGGAAGTTTTCATGGTAGTGGAAGTAAGATGCGGCTACATGTAGTTTACCTACCTCTTGTGTCGTAGAGGCGATGAACAAAGAGAGGATAAGGAACGTATCTAGCGAGCTTGAATCCGCAGGTGGTAGCATGAGTGGCTAGACACTTCAAGCACGTAGATTTGTTGTATCAGTGAGTATTTCCCCTGGCTGATATATTCCTTAATTCATCTTGAGCAGTATCAAGATGGGTGGTATCGGCTTGTTGACGACCCGCTCCAGTGAGATGGGTTCCTTCTCATCCGGCGGCCCCTCACTGTTCTCTCAGCACCCTTGCTCTCATCTGGGAGGGGTAGGTCTGCGCTAGAGAATTATTGATTCTGGATTTGCATGGGGAATCGCCATAGTTAATGGCAATTAGAAATCTGTGTATCATTAGCTGGCATCTCTCTAGCCAACCTAGCATCCTGCAGCCTATTTAGCACTGAAGATCCAGTTGAGTTTAGCAGCAGTTCAGCAAGCGGTAGTTTAGCAGCCACTTCAACAGCAGCTAAATGACCAGTCAGCGGCAAGTCATTCAGCAGCTTTTCTATGCAAGACATGATATAGCAAGAGAAACTACCAGCGTTCATAGGGCTGCAAGGATCCATCAAGGCCAGATTATCGTACATTCAATAACTGTATTTTGAAGTGAGGGGTCCTGGTCGTGTTCTCGAAACAGCGAACAAAACTACCGCAGTAGGCCCGGCGGCCGGATAAGTCCTGTAGCACCATAAATCGGGTGGGTTTTGTTCCCGTAGATCCGCTAGAATAGGCTGCTTTTTGAACAACCACACCAAGACCTTTTTACCTCACTGGTACGGATGCATGATACTGGTGTAAATAGGCTGAAATCAGGTTTCACCCCACAGTACGTTACCTATGACACGAACACGATGCTGCATTTAAAGATGGCCACTTGCCCTCTCCCTACCCTTGCCAAAGGCCTAGTTTTGCCTCTTGCCTACCAATATCCCGCTTGATAGCTATCTCGTCCGGCCTTTTGGTCTAAGAATCTCTCACTCTTCAGCAACAGTACCCAGATTTCACCATGACTGATTCGGGGTTCACCTTCCTCCCCCTGGGAGCTATCATTCAGAAGTTTAAGGTCAATGGCATTAACATTGTCCAGGGGTTTGAGACAGCTGAGCAATATGTCAAGCATAACGGCCCATATTTTGGTGAAACCATAGGCCGGTTTGCCAACCGTCTTTCCAATGCCAAGGTTGAATCTGTGAATGGTGGTAAATCCTACCCCCTCTTCAACAACGACCGGGGCAACACTCTTCATGGTGGTGCCAGTGGCTGGGGCAAGAAGGTCTGGAATGGTCCCAAGGCTGTTGGTCTCCGCGAGATCCCCGGCGTTGAAGGTCTCCAGGGAGGCGAGACTGTCGAGTTCACCTATTTGAGTGAGGACGGCGACGAGGGTTTCCCCGGCGCCCTTGATGTGAAGGTCACATATACTACCGGTACCCAGCGCAATGCAGAGGGCAAGGATGTCATTGTTCTAGGCATAGAATATGAGGCTAAGCTGGTTGGCGGTGCCTCTGAGACTGTGATTAACATGACGAATCACTCCTACTTCAACCCTGCCGGCGTGGATGCGCCGACCTTTGACGGCACTACCGTCACGCTGGCTACAAATCAACACCTTCCTATAGACGACATTGCCATTCCCACCAGTGGCCCGGTACCCTTCCCGGGCCTCGATACCAGCAAGCCCTTCTTACTTACGTCAACTGGGCCTGACGTTGACCACTGCTTTACAATTGATACCGACCCTTCGTCTACACCTGTGGATACTCGCAACTCTCCCCTCAGGGTTAATATTACCGCCCACCACCCTGGAACTGGCATCCACCTCGAGGTTCTCAGTACGGAACCTGGCTTCCAGTTCTATACTGGCCACGGAATCGACGTTCCAGCTGTTGATGGACTGCCTGCAAGGGGTCACCGTGCCGGTTTCTGTTGTGAGCCCAGCCGATGGGTCAACGCCGCCAACGTACCAGAGTGGAAGAGTCAGGTGCTCTTGAAGGAGGGTGAAACATACGGCACTCGAATTGTGTACAAGGCGTGGAAGGATTAGGAGACACTCGGCATGATTCTGGTTTGGTCGTTCTACGGATACATAGGCAGGGCTGGATACCATTTATTAATGAATTTTGATGCATTATTTTGACTGATCATTATGTTTTTACATGCTGTGACTTGCCTGTCATCATAACCCCACGACAGTATTTGGCAAGGCCGTAAAATTCTCCCCTAACTCAACTCCAGAAAACAAACCTCTCTTAATCGGAGTCACTATCGTCATCTAAAAATGCCAGGTCGGCTCGTGCCCTCCTCCGCCGGGCTGCGACTGTCGTTTCATCCTCTTCGTCATCCTCGTCTTCCTTGTCATCATTTTGTTCATTCTCACTCCCGTCACTGTCGACCTTCAGGCTCTGGACCTTGGCCCTGCTACGGCTCGCTCGTCCTTCCGAGGCCTTCCCCCATAGCGCGTTCATTTCCTGAGTAGCCTTAAGCTCATCCATGAGTTCGCGCTTTTCCTTAATCTCGCGTGCCTTTGCCTCTGAGAACCGCCCGTCCATGCCAATGTCCGCGAGCATCTTTTTCAGATGGCGAATCTTAGCACGAGAATCATCACCGCAGCTCTTGAGTTCATTGTGCCAAAGTTTCCGAATGCCGCACTTGACAAGCTGGCCCTGTAGCTTTTTGATCTCAACCTCTTGCAGGTCGTCATCGGTGGGTTTCTTAGTCACTGACTTGGTGGGCTTGGCGGTTTTGGCCGCAGGCTCCTTCTTGGTACCCTTCTTTCGTTTTGGCGGTGGCGGTTCGTCGATGACATCCGAGTACTCTTCTTCTTCATCGACAGGGGGTTGGGCACTCTCCTCCTTTGGCGGCTTGGCCTCGTCGTCCGGTTCGGCATTTGATTGATGCTCCTCCTTCTCGACATCGACCTCGGCCTCTTCTGGAGTGGATGGGGCTGGAGTCAATTCATCGTCCTCATCGTCCGATAGCGGAGCCTTTTTTCGAGCAGCGACCTTCTTTGCTGGTTTCTCTTTCTTCTGTGCCTTCGGCGATACTGCCTTCTTCTTGGGTGGCTGAGCTTTCTTTTTCTTCTTCGGGGCTGGTTCTTCCTCGAGCTCGTCCTCGTCTAGTTCACTAAGCTCTGACGATGATTCTGATTTGTTTACTTTCTTTTTCGGCTGGCTGGTCGTTTTCTGTCGCTTGGCTTTGGGAGACTTCGGTTCGGCAGATTGACGCTTCGCTCCCTTCTTTCCTCTTGTGCTATTATCACCATCCTGTCCTGGGGACCAGCCGTCGAGTAGCTTGTCCTATTTGCGGCTCCATGGTTACTACATGACCTGTTTGGAATCGGACAACCTCTGGGACTTACCACATATTTCTTGATTATTTCCTTGCTCTTGCTCTTCCAGTCCGCATCTCCAAAAAAGCCATCCTCAAGGCCAAGTTTGTCCTCGGCCTGTTTGCGAACCTTGTTGACGCTGGTCGCGTCGGGTTCTGCCTCGTAGACTGCACAGGTCGCATCAATTAGTGCAGTTTCTAGCTCCTTTTCGGAAGGCGCCATCTCGCAAATCCCGAGACGAGCAAGAGGAAGGGAAAAGACAAGAATTTATATCAATGAGATAAGCGAGCGGAGGTGATATCATTGGCCGGGGGCCTCTCTCGCCCGGCAGACGTGTATTAGCAGATGGCTGCTGCAGATCGTGACGGCTTGTCGCGTGTACAAGGGTGGACGCGACGTTAAGAGCTGGGGATGTGGGGAGCTGTTAGATGGTTTGGTGGGTGAGTCGAGTCCAGATCTTATCCACTTTTACGGTACCTTTTTCCATTTGTAAGTTACGAAAGCCAACTGAATGAATTGCCTGCTCCTACTACTATAATTGGCGATATGTGACTGAGATGGTGACTTTCATACAACTTCATATCTTGGTTTTCTCGTGGGCTATTTAGTATTCAAAAGCACTACCTAGTTAGCACCCAGAACTGTAGTACACAGTGCCTGGTAGCTGGATAACATCGCTTTGTGACTACTGGTTAGCATTTCCTACCTAGTTAAAGAATCCAATAGAATTTCACAATTGTTATTCCAGGGTTTCACTACTACTAATACAAACGAGTCTCGCCACCAGTATTGACTCCGAGCCTCCCGATCTAGCTGATGGTCTCCCGTTCTAGATGCAGCCAAGTGGGTGAAATAAAACATGGCACATCGAGATGGTTCAGCACTGAAATTCAGTATAATATCAGAATAAGTAACCTAGTACTGAATACAATATCAAACTAAATACCATAGAATAGTTTATTATTCTCTTATGATTGTGTTTAGTTAAAAAACGAGGTCTTTCTCACGCAGAAAGAGCTTTGGTGTGCCACGTTTGATTTCACCCACTTGGCAGCTGCTAGCAAATCAGTGTAACTCTCAGCGGCAGATGACTCGACCCACATCAGCAAGGATCCATTCTTTCCCGCTAGATATATTCTGTGAGCTTCGACTTGAACCCAGCAGACAGATCTTAATCTATTGAGTTCTCAAGCCGCCACAATGTCTGCATCGCTAGCACCAGAATGCAATGATGTCAAAGAGTGAGTGCCAGCTATTCGCGAGCAGGCCATGCCCGGTTCTGACCGATAGCCCAGACGTTACGATACTTGCTTCTTGAAGTGGTACAGCGAGAGTAAGTCTTCCATCGCCGCCTAGCTCAATATCAAAGTGCTGACAGAGTGTTTAGAGTATTTGCGCGGTGCAGAGAAAAATAGTCAAGAATGCGCTGGCTTGTTTGCAGAGTACCAGAAGTGCCTCAAGGTGAGTTGTCTTGGCCAGAGCTGCCTTACACTGAGTCGATTGTTGTTAACAGTCCGCAGGTGGCGCTCAAAGATCGAGGCATCGACAAGTTGCTAGACGAGGCTCGCGAGGACAACAAAGAGAATGATGTGAGATTACTATCTCCAAAAAGTGAGTTCAACTGTCGTCTTCCAAGTCTTCTTGTGCTAATGTGGCTGAAGAATAGACGACTAGACACAGCAAAATGGTACCTCGAGTATCATTTGAATCCGGTAACGGTTGGCGTTTGCTTCTGTGCGAATTAATTTTGTATCAAAATGTCCCCCCATAAATGTTCCTCGTATAAATCCCTATGTATACCTACATATTAAGGTTAATGAATCATTGCTCTTTGTGCTGGGCAAAAGGCCACCAAACGAACTCTTTGATGTTGCGCCAACGCTTATCTGAAATGCACACAATGCACCTTCTCAGCCAATAACAACGACGTAATGCGTGCATACCATGCGACCAATCACCTAGTCAACTTTTGCATGACCATTGACCAGAGAGATTGGAGTGAAAAATCCATTAAACTATAGTGGGGCCGATGAGCATCACGTCGCGTCCCGTGTCGCGTCCGAACGCGTCTCACCCCAAATTGTCTTCTTTAGCTTGGCCAACTCGACCTTATGTGACCGGGTTTGTAGTAATAATTCATAGATCCAGTCCAACACATCTCGCTTTCGAACCTCCACGTCATTGAGGGTGACAAACTTACCGGAATAAGTCGAATATCTTAATAATAACACCCAATGACGACAAGAGACTTTCATTAGATCTCTCCCCTTTCGACACTCTATATTTCTCCTGCGCGGCGGGGCCGGCATAGTTCGTTCGTCACAATGCCCAACACCAGCTTGCGGCGCGCCCCGCAGAAGGGCTTCAGAAGAGGAGGAAAGCTTGCATACCATGGGAAATCACGGACATTTGCCGCCTCTTCACGGGCGGAGGGGACCTCGGCCGACGAGAAGTGGGAGCGCACCAGACAGGCTCACAGTATCGACCAGAACATGGGCTTCGCGCGCTTCGAGAGTGGCAAGAAGAAGGAGGGTTGGTTAGTCAATGTCCAGCCTACGTCTATCGAGGATGAAAGAATACCGGCCGGTCGAGCTGCCCTCGACTGCTATTTCCTTGAAGAAGACGGCAACTATTTCAAGGCTACTGTCGAGTACGAACCCTATTTCCTCATTGCCACAAAGAGGGGCCACGAGTCGGAAGTCGAAGAATGGGTAAAGAGAGTCCCCGGCGATGGAGTTGTCAAGTCGGTCAAGAAAGTCGAAAAGGATGATCTTGATATGCCCAATCACCTCATGGGTTACAAACGAACGTTCCTGGAACTGAGGTTCTCTAATGTCACTGACCTCTTGGCGGCAAGAAGGGACCTCCTTCCGATCGCAGAGAAAAATAGGAAGAATATGAACGCAATGGATGCATATGCGGAAGTCGTATCGTACGTCAACCCTCCTACTAATCCTGGAATACTATATTGTGCTAACGAGAAGTCTAGAGCGAGCGGCAACTTTGACCTTTTTGACGATTCACGAGATGACGAAAGATTAATGAATAATTCGATTGATGCAAGCGATTTTATTGTTGACATCCGAGAATACGATGTCCCATATCATGTTCGAGTAATGATCGATTTAGGTAGGTTCGGCGAACAAGTCTATTACTTGGTTTCTTTTTTGCTGACCTTCTCCAGATATCAGAGCTGGTGGCTGGTACTTCGTTGAAGCCAAGCACGGCGTTACCAAGATCACACCTAATGAGAACAGATCGCTGCCTGCGGAACCAGTGGTTCTCGCTTTTGATATTGAGACAACAAAAATGCCGTTGAAGTTCCCCGATGCCGCAACCGACCAGGTCATGATGATTTCATACATGATTGATGGTCAAGGTTTCCTCATCACAAATCGTGAGATTGTGTCGGAAGATATTGGGGACTTCGACTATACACCCAAACCCGAATACCCCGGTCCGTTTATGATTTTCAACGAACCCGATGAGAAGGCTGTCCTTGAGAGGTTTCTTTTGCATATCAAGGAAGCAAGGCCCACGGTTATTGCGACTTACAACGGTGACTTCTTCGATTGGCCCTTCGTTGAAGCACGAGCGAGCGTAAACGGCATCGACTTATACCAGGAAATTGGCTGGAAGAAGGACAGCGAGGACCAGTTCAAGTGCAACTACAGCGTTCACATGGACTGTTTTCACTGGGTAAATCGAGACTCTTATCTACCTCAGGGTTCTCGAGGCTTGAAAGCTGTCACTGTGGCCAAACTCGGCTACCATCCAGACGAACTTGACCCAGAACTCATGACTCCTTACGCTGCTGAGAGACCTCAGACCTTGGCAGAATACTCCGTTTCCGATGCTGTTGCGACCTACTATCTGTATATGAAATACGTCCATCCTTTCATTTTCTCGCTTTGTACCATCTTACCGTTAGGTGGCGATGATGTTCTGAGAAAAGGAACCGGAACCCTCTGCGAAATGCTTCTCATGGTGCAGGCTTACCAGAAAGGCATCGTGTTACCCAACAAGCACATTGCTCCCAAGGAAGCCTTCTGGGATGGACACTTGCTCGATTCAGAGACATACGTGGGTGGCCACGTCGAGAGTATCGAAGCCGGTGTTTTCCGAGCTGATATTCCTGTCGACTTCTCTGTGGACCCAGGAGCAATTGATGAACTACTCAATGATTTGGATAATGCTTTGAAGTTCGTCGTTACCGTGGAAGAAAACAAGAAGCTTGAAGATGTGGAGAACTACGACGAGGTCAGAGAGCAAATCGCTGCGCGTTTGTTAAAGCTGAAGAATACCCCCAATCGACACGAACGGCCGTTGATTTACCATTTGGATGTTGCATCTATGTACCCTAATATTATGACGACCAACCGATTACAGCCAGATTCTATGGTCCAAGAGTCAGACTGTGCTGCTTGCGACTTCAACCGCCCTGGCAAGACGTGTGATCGAAGGCTGCCCTGGGCCTGGAGAGGAGAGTATATCCCAGCCAAGAGAGACGAATACAACATGATCCGGAATGCCCTTGAGAACGAAAAGTTCCCGGGGAGAACGCCATATGCGCCACCGAGAACATTCCAAGAGTTGCCGGCAGACGAACGGGCAGGTCTGATCAGAAAACGCCTACAACTATACTCTCAAAAGATCTATCACAAGATCCACGATTCAACCACCATTGTTCGCGAGGCGATCATTTGCCAAAGAGAGAATCCATTTTATATCAACACGGTGCGAGATTTCCGTGATCGACGATACGACTACAAGGGCAAGACCAAAGTCTGGAAAGGCAAAACCGATAGTCTAAAATCTTCTGGTGCTGCCGCGAGCGAAGTGGAAGCTGCTAAAAAGATGATTGTCTTGTATGATTCTCTGCAATTGGCACACAAGGTCATCCTGAATTCGTTCTACGGTTATGTCATGAGAAAGGGCTCTCGATGGTACTCTCTTGAAATGGCCGGTGTCACCTGTTTAACAGGAGCTCATATCATTCAGATGGCGCGTCAACTGGTTGAACGCCTTGGGCGTCCACTTGAGCTCGACACTGATGGTATTTGGTGCATGCTTCCAGCCACATTCCCCGAAAACTTCTCTTTCAAGATGAAGAATGGAAAGAAGCTGAACATTTCCTATCCCTGTGTGATGTTGAACCACTTGGTTCACGGCCGCTTCACGAATCATCAATACCAGACATTGGTTGATGATAAGAAACACAAATATGAGACGCATAGTGATAACTCCATCTTCTTCGAGGTTGACGGTCCCTACAAAGCTATGATTCTCCCAACTTCGAAAGAGGAGGACAAGAACTTGAAGAAACGTTATGCGGTTTTCAACGATGATGGAAGTCTTGCTGAGCTCAAAGGTTTCGAAGTGAAGCGTCGTGGTGAGCTGAAGCTCATTAAAATCTTCCAGCAGCAGATCTTCAAGTTCTTCTTGGAAGGCACAACTCTCGAACAGTGTTATACTGCTGTTGCTAAAGTTGCAAATCAGTGGCTGGATGTGCTACACAGCAAAGGATCGACTCTAGCAGATGAAGAGCTCATGGAGCTAATTTCCGAAAACCGAAGCATGTCCAAGACACTGGAGGAATACGGCACACAGAAGTCAACAAGTATCACGACCGCTCGACGCTTGGCGGACTTTCTGGGCGAACAAATGGTCAAGGACAAAGGTCTAAATTGCAAGTTTATTATCTGCTCCCGCCCTCGAAATGCTCCCGTCACAGAAAGAGCTGTTCCCGTGGCTATTTTCTCCGCAGATGAGACTGTCAAGAGAACCTACTTGAAGAAGTGGCTCAAGGAGGAACCATCTGATACTGATCCACGTGCACTACTCGACTGGAATTACTATCTAGAGCGTTTGGGATCCGTGATCCAGAAGCTGATTACGATTCCTGCAGCCTTGCAAAAGGTTCGCAATCCTGTGCCTCGAGTTCCTCACCCCGACTGGTTGCAGAGGAGGATCAATATCAAAGATGATAAGATGAAGCAGAAAAAATTGACAGATCTGTTTGCCAAAGAGCCCTTGGGAGACATTACCAACATCAATGGTTCCCGAATGGACGATATGGAAGACTACGGTAGCAAGCTCTTGAAGCCCAAACCCGTGAACACAGCCATTGCATCCTCCCAGCCGGCGCCAACTGCTCAGAAGCGCAAGTCTCCCGAGCCTGCTGAAAATAAAGATCCCATGGCCGCTCTGCCCAAGGTTATGCCAAGCCCTTCTGAAGACTATCCTGCTTTCCTGGACTATCAGAAACAAAAATGGAGGATTCAGAAGCTGGCCCGTGCAAGAAGACGGCAGCTCTTTGGTGATCGCAGAGGTATCGTTGGCGGCAACATTCAACAAACTTTCATGAAACAAGCCCACGTTACCTACATGAATACGTGGCAGCTACTACATCTGAAGTCAGCCGATACGCCCGGAATCGTCACAGCACATGTTTTGATCGATGCCAAGGTTCACACAATTAAGATCAAAGTTCCTAGGCAAGTCTTCCTCAACCTCAAGAGTGACAAGCTTCCCGATGTGGAGATTGATGGGTGTGAGGTGGAACAAGTCAATTATACGCTACCCAATGGCCATCCGTCAAAGCACCTTTTCAAGCTCACCGTCCCGGAGGATGTATACTTCAATGAATCGGAGAAATTCTCTCTGTTGTTCAATCATCCGAGTGTCGAAGGTGTATACGAGCGACAGCTCCCTCTTAATATGCGGGCCGTCCTTCGACTCGGTAACCTATGTACCATCGATGAGCAGCAGCATGCTGTACTTGGGAAGGGCTTAGATCAAGGGTTTGACCTGGCTGGTTTGAAGCGCCCTGCAAAGTCTCGCCTATACTTGGATTCATCGCCCCTGGTGTACATTTATATCTCGCATATTACCGCCGGAGACCGACAGATTTTTGGTATATTCTCAACGACGTCTGAGCAAGCACATATCGTGATACTGCAGAAGAGTAGGGATTCCGGCCACGACCTGCCAAACGTCGCGAGAATATACTCTGAAATGCTAGCAAAGAGAAAAGAGGAAGCCGCAGGGACCAACTGGCAAGACTGCTTCAAATATCAGGACTCGGTCAAGTTTAAAATAGCCCAGGTGACGACAAGGCGCAAGGCACACTTGGAAATTAGCGACGTGGTCAAGAAGATGCGGAAAGACGAGGTCAGGCCCCAGATGTTGGTTATCCAGTCTTCCCAGAGCAATCTTCTTGTCCATGATATCCCAATCCTGGGTGAATTTCCAGTACTTCCTCTCAAGTATGACGCTGCGGATAGCTCGCTGCCACCTCTAGGCTGGCAGGCTGTAGTTGCTCGACGCCTAGTTGGACACTATCTCGGATTGGGGTCATGGATCTTGCATCTCACAACACTTGCAAGATACGGAGAGGTCCCTCTCTGCAATCTCGAGCGAGAGGATCCGCGATTCCTGATCGATGTTGCATATGCTCGCCGTCTGCAAGCCAACGGTGTGGTTCTATGGTGGTCGCCAGGACCTCGACCAGATCACGCAGGATACGAGCAAGATGACTTATTGGGTCCCCTGGACACGGTGAAACTACCTAACGTCAATAACCCGGGAACTTACTCATCTGTGTGTATTGATCTGGAGGTCCGCAATCTGGCCATCAATACCATCTTGACTTCGTCCCTGATCAATGAACTGGAAGGCGCCGAAGCCATCTCATTCAACCCCACAGCCGACGGGTCTGAGGTACTGGCTTCCGAGAGCGCCTTTGCCAATGCCGGTGTGGTTGTGCTCCGAGAGATGGTCAAGGCGTGGTGGACAGAGGCATGCCGCGGCAGCACCATGGCCGACGTCTTGGTGCAACATCTAGTACGCTGGATAGAGAATCCCGATTCCTTTATGTACGACCGAGCTCTGCACTACTACATGCAGATGATGTCGCGCAAGGCTTTCCAGCAGCTAATGGCAGATTTCCGCCGCGTGGGGTCCCAGGTTGTCTTCGCCAATGCCAACAGACTCATTCTCCAGACCACCAAGGGAGAGGTGGCCAACGCCTACGCCTACAGTCAATATATCATCAAGTCCATCAAGTCGAAGCCCCTGTTCCACTTTATCGATCTTGAGATCAAGGAGTACTGGGACTACATGGTCTGGTACGACGAGTTCAACTATGGCGGGCGAGCCTGCCAAGAGGTCAGCGAGGCGGAGGAGCAGAGCCTGGAGACGATCATGAACTGGCAGATGGCGACGTTCCTCCCCAAGCGACTGCAGCCGACGTTCCAGGAGTGGGTTGTGGAGTTCATCCAGCTCATGCATGGGCTCAAGCGCCCGCAGGATGATCACACCGATTCAACACCACGACTCACCCAACTCCCCAGTGACCACCTCGAAAGTATGGAGGGCCAGATAATATCTGGCAAAGCATTCGAGAAGCCGCTCAAGAAGGCTATACAGGGGCTCGTCAACCAGCAGAAGCGAGAGCTCCTCCACCCGGAACTTGCTGAGGATTACAGTTTCCCTAGTCTCCCCGGCTCACACCTCCACCCTCGCGATCCAATCCTGGAGCTGGTCAAGTCTCTCATGCAAGTTTTATCCCTGGACAAGAACATCACAATGGAGGCCCGTCTGCTGCGCAAGGAGCTTCTTACCCTCTTCGAGGTTCGCGAGTTCTCTAAGGAGGGTACTTTCACCAACCCGTCGGAGAGCCTGAAGCTGTACCAGGTATCGTGCGACAGCTGTACGATGGCGCGAGACTTAGACCTGTGTCGCGACGAAGAACTGTTCGGGGAGGGCGGCCAGCAGGCCTGGCGCTGCGGATTCTGTGGAAACGAGTTCGACAAGGTTGCGATCGAGGAACGACTGCTGAGCATGGTGGAGAGCTGGGCCGTGGAGTGGGCTACGCAGGACCTCAAGTGCCAGAGGTGCGGCGCACTGAGGGTGAATGACTTTATGGAGCATTGTACCTGCAGTGGGGAGTGGCAGTGTGTGGTTTCGAGAGAGGAGGTGAGCAAGAAGCTGGGAGTAATTCGCAAGGTAGCCAAGTTCTACAAGCTGAGAATGCTGGCGGATGTTGCAGAGGCGTTATCAAAGGAGTTATAGTCCAAACAGCCGGGTCCGGCGTTCGTCTTACATGCTTTGTGATTATATAGATATATGTATATGATTTTCAAGAAATCTTACAAATGATTCTCTCGAAACCCGACTCCAACTCCCCGGGACTCAATGATTGTGTAATGCGAACCACATCCAGGAGAGGTCTTTGGGCTGCTGACAGATAGTCGCAAGGCGTCCGGAGCAACCCCTGTCAGTCTGAGAGTCTGCCTACTGTGTGTAAGGACTCCACAGCCACACCCGTCACATCACATCGAGTCTGTCCGATAGGGCTTTCTGTCGGGTTTCGGCCCCCATGGACTCGTCATTCGAGTCCTACGGCCGAATAATCTTAATCCCTCTCCCTCCTCCTCGAGCTCTTCCGCGTGGTTTAGTATAAATACCGCACTTTTCTCACCAGATTGGCCCTTTCCCTTTTGCTACTTGGTCCGTGATCGCCCCCCGCCGGATGCTGACACCGGGACCTTGCATATTCATAGTCACCGAGCAGCTGCTGTGATGGGTCCGTCCACCCGCCAAGGTCGCTGGAGGCGGCAGCAGCACCTCCCTTCGCCAACACCAACTGTGGAAACTGGACTCACTTTCCGTCCCGGTTTGTTGGAAGAGGTGGACGCCTCGTTCGCTCCATTCTACAAAGAAAAGCTGCCTTCATTCCCCGCTGGCCCCCAAATCGGCTTCCCCAATCAAGATGACTACCATCACAACCACGCCTGGGCCACTACTGAAGGAGACCACTGGTTTCCTCAATATGCCGCTCCGGACGGTGTCATCGTCCAGCCCGAGTTACCGGCTGGTCTCCCCCCATTCCCCTCGGCTCACTGGCTAGCTGGTGTTGGTCTCAATCATCCCAGGCCCAGTAGCACTGTAAGCTCCTCCACTCGAGCCTCGTCTCTCGAGTCGACTGGCTCGTCACTTTCCCCTGTTCAGACGGACGTGAGCGACACAAGGACCGTCCGCTCCCGCTCCCGCAACCCCAGCCCCCTAAGAAAAGCATTGGGTGACCCAAGCCCACACGTATGTAATTGGGCTGGCTGCGACAGCGCCAGCTTTGCAACTCGCGCCAAGCTCGTCTGGCACGTCCAGGCCGAGCACCTCTTGATCTGTCCTGCTCCTGGCTGTACCGAAAAGGACTTTGGGAGCACCAGATTGCTGAGTGCCCATCTCTCCGTCGTTCATCCTGATCAGGGGATAGAGGACGTTAAGGATTGGCAGCTGGTGGCTCAACCCGACAAGAAGAAGCAGAAAGAAGAGCAGCAGCAGAAGCAACAGCAACAGATACACATCTCTCCTCAGCGCAACCACTTCGCTCTGCCTCCAAAGCCAGCACAGCCAGCATCGGCACCAGGTCGACAAGGAGGCGATATTATGACACAAAAGCTATCAACCATCGCGAAATCGAAGCGAAAATGTCAGGAACAACTAAGAAGCGTGGTTGAGAAAAAGGTCAAGAGAAAGATGGGTAAGTGGAATACCCAATCCTATCGTTTCCACGCACCAATGTTTCCTAACGTCATCGCAGGTCAATCTCCACCAGCCTCGAGCCCGTCTGATTTCGTACGCAACCGAGTATCGAGCCTTGTCGACACGGCTAGCTTCCCAATCGTATTTGAGCACGCCGTGCTTCCATTTCTGGTAGAGTTCGTCCCGGTGTGGGCTGGTCCTCGCCATGTCATCAGCGTTTGTAGAGGAAAGACGCGCGAGAGTAGACGGATAAGCATCATGACCGAGAAAGAGATGTCCTTCACCAGAAAGGTCATCATCGCTCGGCATGTGAGGGATCTCCTCCCGGAAAACCACCGCCCCAACGTATCATTCACCTTTCCCACTGGCAAAGTATGCCGTACTCATTCCGCCTGGGCTAGAGGCCTTAGTAAGGAACACCCGGACGACATCTGCATGGCTCGAAACCCATACTGTTTCCGTGTTCCTTGCATGGGAGACAGCGTGGGCATTGCTGGCAACGAATCACACACAGAGAGCACAGCGACGCTGGGACCATGTCTGGATGTGGACGGAGGAACCTTCTGGCTGTGCAACTTTCATCCATTCCTCGAAGCCTACGGGACCACCAATGTTGTCAAGGTCGAGCACCCATCACCTCGTGACCGGGCTAGTTGCATAGAGAACGCCCACGATGCCATTTCCCCCAACACCGACTTCCATATCGGAGATCTTGTTGTCACATCAGGCCTCAATCTCCAGACAACCAGGATTTCCCATGACCCCTATTGGGAGGATTGCGGCAAGGAACCGCCACTTGTCGTGACCGACTGGGCCCTCGTATCTTCACATTCATCGCGCGCCAACATGTTGAGACGGTTCCCTTCAGAGACACACCCTACCACAAAGGAGGCGCTAGTGAAGTTGACTTCTGCTGTTAACCCTGGAGCCTCAGTTCTGTCAAGTGGACGGACCTCGGGCTTTCAGCGTGGCCAGATCTGCGAAATTCCTGCTTATATTAGTGGCGAGGAAAATGGGACGGAGAAAGCCACCCGAGAGTGGTTTATAGAAGAGCCATGGCCTTGCAATGATGAGGAGGCCTGGATACGGGGAGGCATCGGCGTCGAAGGTGACAGCGGTGCCGCTGTTGTTGATATGGAAACCCATGCTCTCGTAGGCCAAATTTGGGGGAGGAACAAGTATTTTGGAGCTGGACAGCGAATTACATTCTTCACCCCTGTCGCTGATATCTTTGACGACATCCAGGAGAAGTGCGGGCAGGAGAAACGACCTCAACTGCCCCAGTACCGAGATGAAGCTGATAGGTTAGCCATGCTACCCACCTGTCGGCAGTGCTACGACCTCCGCACCTACCTGGACAGCCGGAGAAGCTCAAGAGTATCACTTGCGAGTATGATGATAAGTGGTGACGCTGATCACGATGTCACGTCGATTGAGGCTGTTTCAGAGCTAGATACGCCGCGAGACTACTCTCGTGGTCTAGGCCCAGAGGAGGCATTTCTCGGGTTTCTCTCGCCAGGCCAGCACGTAGCCATTAGTGAGGGCCTCGATGTAAGTAGCCCCTATGCCCGGACCCTGGAACTGGACACTACCGACGAGGACGCAAAGCCCGTACCTACCTCCCTTGGACATCCGAAGAAGAGGACTCTCGATTCCATGGTTCCTGTTGCATGGCAAGCTTTGAGCTCAGGTGGAACTAAGAAGCAGAAGACGTCTTGAGTAGACCATTTTCTCAGCCAGCGAAACCACCTCGCGACATCTTCTTGGCCCGAGCATCTCGGCGATTGTGATTCGCCCTTGATCCTTTGTTCGCTTCCTTCCGCCGCCTGGCCGCCTCCGTCTCCTTCTCACCAGTAGGACCAGCGACGTTTCCTCCTCCGCGCCCTCGCCCTGGACCCCCGGATCCCCTACCACGGCCACGACCTCCTCTTCCACCCCTGGATGCACCCCGATCAGAATCATTATCCTCCGTCCCAGAGCCAGCTGGACTGGCTCTCCAGGACGTTCGGTCGAGTTGTACTTGTTGGCCGCTGAACTCATACTTGAGTTCCAGCCGACGTCTTTGTTGTGGATTTCTGGTGAGCATAAGTGCCCATCCCTCCAGAGCTTCATCCGCCATTCCAGTTTCCTCTCTTAACTTGGTACGTGAGCTGCTTCGACGGGTCGCGGCATCTCTATCAAATACCTTTGCATCCAGTTGCCAGGCACGGAAAAGAATCTCTTCATTTTTGTCATCGCCAGTATCGGCCTCCTGGTTTGCAGAGTCGACAGTGCCACCAACATCATCAGCGTCATAGGTGTCGTCACGCTCATCATCATCCGGATCCAAGGCTGCGAGGGCAGAAAGGATGGCTGCTTTACCAGGAGCGCTTGAACGGTCGGCGAGAATCTCATCGGCGGTTTTTCCTGGCTTCTTTCCAAATGATATTTTAGATGTATCTGCAACGAGACGATCAAAATCATCGTCGTCAAAGACGTTTTTCCTCGTTGGGAGTTTTGATGGCACTGCCTGCTGGGCGGGAATCCCAGAGTGCTTGGAACGTGGCGTTTGTGATAATCTAATGGTTTGTTAGCGATATATATATATATATATATAGGGGCATTGAATGGGAAAGATGAAAATCTTGTGAACGTACAATGGCTCGCTGCGGTCCGCCGTTGCAAGATGAGGCGGTAGTGATTCGCTTAATAGGTTCGCCACAACCAGCTCCACGTCCTCGTTGCACTCGTCAAGACATTTCGCGATAAAACCAGCTCCCAGATCAGGGAACAGATCTTGGATTTGTGTAATCTGACTCATTTTATGCACGTGGATCTCTACCTGTGCATCCTCCTGTGTCTGTTTGCCCTTGCCTTTGTCGAGTTTCCTTCGTCCATGGCCCTTTGGTCGGACCATCGGGCCCTTCTTAAACTCCATGAGTGCTGTAATCCGATTCTTGAGCAGCTGTGTGGCAGATCCAGAGGATTCGGCTCTCCGTGACAGGACCTTGAGTATAGGAGTGGAGGTAACAAGCTCGGGGACTAGAGAATCATTGACATTCAGCGGTCCTTGTTTGTGAGAGTCCGCAGCAGACTTGAGAACGTAAAGCTGGTCACCCAGCATTGACCACTTCGGCGGCTCATTCTCTGTGAGCCCGATGAGACAGACATACACCGTAGTGATGATCGTCTTCCTCAGCGGCGGGTTCATCACGCGGAAGCATGTAACCAGCCCATCGAAGAAATCGGATCCGGCAAGAAGTAGAGCACATGCATCTGGAGAAGCATGTAGCAGGTAATTTAGTCGTGTGAGCTTGGAATGTACAAGCTTCAGATCCCCTTTGATTCCCGATTCCAAGTGAGGAATGAGGAGTTTCTTGAGTGAGGTAAGAGATGCTTCTGTAACTGTCCCATGCTTGCTAAACAATGACGTAAATACTGGCGCGGAAAGCTTCTTTGGATAAACCCTTGCAAAGTTCGAAAGGAATGGAAATTCGAAGAGTCGTGAATCAGTTGTTGAAGTTGAAACCGCAAGAAGGCGGCTAGTAAGCTGGAATATCACTCTCAGAAGCTGAGTAGAGTGGGAACCCAATGACTCCAAGCCATCCTCTGCGGTCTCCTCCATGAATGAATCCAGAAACAGAATTACCGAATCATCGGCCTTGATGTTTGCTCTCAACTGGTCGTCAGAGAGACTTAAGCTGGCCTGGCATAAGGTGAGCCATGCCTCCAGAAGCGAGTTCCAGTCCTGGGGTGCGAGATGCTGCCTCCAGGACGCTCTTGGAAACGGCGCGAATGGCGGGAACTTGGACATTATCGTAACGCTGAATCAGAAACCAAAAGTAAAGGTGTGAAATATGAGAATTAGAAAGAAACCAATGGTCCCCAGCGGGCAAATGTCATCTTTTGAATTGTAGCTCGCTCGCACCTGCTCCGGCTGATGCCTTCCAGATCGCCTAAAGGTACGTACCCACCCGGTATGATTCACAATGACAGCCAGAAGCGGATGGACCCGCCCCAGCCAATGAGAGAGGCCTGTCTCAAGCTCACTTTCAACCATTCCCTTCCTGGTTTAGGGCGACCTGGTTTGCGCACACAAACTGCGATTTTGCCAAACCCCCACCAAAATGTTCGCGAGGCCCTGAATCTTTTTTCCTTTTCGATATTCCCCAACCGCCTTCATCACTTTGCCGTAACGAGACGTTCGAGTCGTGAAGAGCACTTCATCAAAAATATAAATCAAAATGTCTTCCTACCAGAAGCCCGAGAAGGACCACGGCGAGGCTCCCGTATGAATTACCACTGCCCAATTTCGTTACCCTTTGAATCTTGAAGACCAGCAAAGCTAACGCGCTCTCAATCCTGCAGAAGAGCCACAAGATCCGTATCACCCTGTCCTCCCGCAAGGTCCAGGTCCTCGAAAAGGTCTGCACCGAGATCATCGAGCGTGCCAAGAACAAAGACCTCCGCTTCAAGGGCCCCGTCCGCCTGCCCACCCGAAACCTCAAGATCACCACCCGTAAGACTCCTTGCGGTGAGGGTTCCAAGACCTGGGACAGCTACGAGATGCGCATCCACAAGCGTCTCATCGAGTACGTGAAGCTCCTCCTCTCGCGCCGTTTAGGCCCGGGCTCGCAATTGGATCTTAGAACTGTGAAACTGACTGAGTATTTCTTCATAGCCTTACTGCCCCCACCGAGGTTGTCAAGCAGATCATTGTCAACATCGATGCTGGTGTCGAGGTTGAGGTCACCATCGCTGCTTAAGCGCGTGGCCTCAAACGGGAACGATTGGCTGGGCCGAGCCACGGGTACCAGGCTCGGTTAGACAAAAATAAAAAGAATATTGATCCCAACTATATGCTTCGTCGTGAATATCGAGTGTCATGAACATGTGTTGCGCTGAATTGCTTTGCAAACATTGGAAAAGGCACTTCTGGAGGTTTATACATGATATGTAGTGCCTACCCATTTCCCATGGCGCCAATTTCCCCCAAGATTATATATCTACAAGAGACAAATGACAAATGTAAACGCCAGCGCATGCCCTAGTAGATGGAGCATGTCAATCACCCATAACAGCCAACGCTTTGTAATGTAATTCCAACGTCCAGTGTATTTCAAAAGTTCCACAGAGTGCAATCCCGTGGTGGCGGGAGCGCAGGCATGACTCCATCAGCAAAGTTGCCACTCTGCGCAAATGCGGCCCATTGTGCCTTTGTCTTATCATCAGATTTCTCCAAAGGCAAGGCAGTATCCTTGTAAAAGCTTGGTGGACCATTGGGAAACCAAATCCGCTGCCATGTCCCATCAAATTGCCTGATCCCGGGCAGACCGTCCTTGTAGGTGACTGGCTTGCCTTTAAACATGGTCAACCTACCATCCATACCCTTAGACGCGTAACTGTCGAGAGGCGGGTGTTGTCTGGTACTATCAGATGGATAGGGGTTGGCCTGGGGACCAGTCTCAACGTTCTGCTGCGGCTGGTGTGTTCCAAATGGATTTGCGGGGGCTGCTCCAGCATTGGCGGGCTGGGCAAATGGGTTGTTTTCTTGGGGTTTCTGGCTGAATCCTGAAGGCGCTGCTGGCTTGGCACCAAATGGAGAATTTCCATCTTGAGCAGGTGGCTGTGCGGCTGCGAATGGGTTCGGCTTCTGGCCAAGAGCACTGGGTTGACCGAAAGCACTGCCCTGAGTATTGTTCTGAGATGGTTGCCCGAAAGGGCTGGGGTTGCTCTGTGCCTGATTATTCCCACTGCCTCCAAACGCATTAGTTGCAGTATTGTTTTGATTCGATCCTCCTCCACCGAAGGGATTGGCAGCCGGGGCATTGTTGGTGTTACTTCCAAAGGGGCTGGGTGTGGCAGTACTGAAAGGGTTCGGCTTCTGTCCGAGCTGGCTTGGCTGACCAAAGGCACTACCCTGCGCGTTTGGTTGCGATGGTTGGCCAAAAGATGGGGCTCCGAAGGGACTGGGCTTTGCCCCAAGAGCTGAGGGCTGCCCAAACGCAGATGCGGGTTGAGACGGCTGTCCGAATGCTGATGATGGCTGAGATGACTGTCCGAATGCTGATGATGGTTGAGATGGTTGTCCAAAAGTTGAGCTGGGTTGAGACGGCTGGCCAAACGCCGAGCCACCGGAACTGGGTTGCGCAGACTGTCCGAAAGTCGACGTTGGTTGAGAAGGCTGCCCAAAGGCGGGTGCACCGAAAGCACTTGGTCGTTGGCCAAGGGTAGAAGGCTGACCGAATGCGCTTGAGCCGGTAGCTGCTCCTCCACCAAAGGCAGACGGCGTGTTCGAATTGTTTGATGAGAATGGATTGGCCGCAGCAGCTTCAGCAATGGTAGTCTTGGGTCTCTTGCCTACAAGAAACTCGCCAAACGGCTGGCCCTGGGTGCCCTGGTTACAGAGGTCGTGCCGATTTGGATGTCGGTTTTCTCCTTGGACGATGAAATTCATCGCATCTCGAATGTTGCGAAGAGCATTTTGATTCTGTTGTTGGGCGGTTTGATATAGCTCCTGAGCTTGGTTGAGCTGTTCGAGGTCCAAATTAGTTCACACTTCTGGATCATGAAAGGGTCACAACCACGTACAGCCTGCTGCTCATTGCCGGCAGCGCGGGCTTGGTAGAAATGGAACCTCATCTCCTCAAAGCTCTGCTCCCGTGGGAAACCACCAAATAATTGCTCGGGGGGATCTTTGCCGGGCGCATAGGCGGATAGGATCCATTGTGGTGTATCAGTCGTTAGATCCGCTTCTATCGTCTCTACCGAAATCTTATACTTGTCTAGAGCAAAGCCATTCATTAGTTCTTGCCTTGCTTTTTTCTAGTCTTGCCATACAGGATGGGAGGCATGGATGGATTGCTCCTTACCGAGCGCATTTTGGTTTCCGCTGACATTGCCTCCTCCGCCGAAGCGATTGGAGGTCTGGTTCCTGTTTCCACCACTGGGATGTTCGAAACGACAGCCATCTATTATCAATCTAGATTAGTATGTCTGTCGCTCCTGACTGGATGCTCGCACAGATGCAGCACGGAGCAAAATGTCATATTACCCACTTCCAAACTTGCAGTTGCCTTGCAAGAAGAACTTGCAAACGGCCATCGCGCGCGTCGATATAGCTTCGGGTGCGATTGACGAAAGATGCCTCACGCAAACCAGATGGACTCGGCTCGGTAGCTTTTCAGTACGGTAAAAATATCGTGTTCGTATGTTGCACTTTCGTCATATCGAAGATCAGAATTCAGCACCAGTCCGAGAGCAAATCAGCTCTTCCAGTCGACGCGAGGGCACCACAGCCAAGTCGCGATGCTGCGTCGGTATCGAAGGGTCGTCGCAGGCCAAACGATGGGATGGCCACTCGAAATGGAAATCAAGCTGGAAATCCAGCCTTACTCGAAGGTTGATTGTTCGATTGTAGCACAGCGCCTGACCTTGCCTGCCTTCTTTCAATCGCCAGGCAGAGCAGAGCCTTGCCAATGGGTTCAATTGCAGGGATCTGCAACCAAAAGCCCAAAACTCGGAACCTCTAATCTTATCAGTGTGGGGCGCATCATGCACCCCGAACAAGCACCAAATAAATGGCTGGGCCGTGACCTCTGACTTATAAACTCCGAGTCCATTGCTCTTCGCAATGATTTATTTAATTTATTTATCGGACAGAATATGGATGTAGCCGCTCAAAGCTATCGACTGGAGGTGCCAGCACACCGAGAGAATCTCGTGATGCTCATCTATCACTAGCTATTGTAGGAATAAGACTCAAATACGCCCATTACGCACCTCCAACCGTTGCTTCCACAGATGGGATAAGCACGTTGTTGATATACGCACTATCCCTCCACGCCGACCAGTCATGGTTGTACAGTCCCCAAGATTCGTCATAGTCCTGCACGCCCGATCGGATCATGTAGCTGCCGACCACAACCCACTGGAACCACCCGGCCGTGTTGTTGGGCATCCATTCGGCCAAGCAGGTCACATAGACAGTCTGCCAAGAGCTTCCGTCTTGCGGGAACCCAAACTCAGTCACCAAGACCGGGAAGACGTTCACGGTGCTTGCCTCGTCAGGGTTCATGGCCTGCGCTCCGCCGTTGTAAAGGGAGCCTGAGAGAGCAGAGCAAGACGATGCACTTCTGTCGTAGTTGTGAAGCTCAATGACCAACTTGTTCTTGAACCCGGCAAAGTCATCAAAGCTAAAAGTGGCAGTTCCCGGTGAGAGAGCTTGCCCCCTGACAACAGGCTGCATGGTGGTGTCGTAGTTCAGACCAGAAAGGATGACCAGGACGTCTGGGTTAGCTGCATGCACGGCGGCTGAGCCTTCACGGATATGTTTGTACCAAGTCTCCCAGTTGTATGTAGCCTTGACAGCTTCATTGTTTGTTGGCTGGCGGAGTTCGTTGCGAAGCGACATGGACGCCAAGTTGCTCCAAGACAACCCCTATAAAATGTGTTAGTACAAAAAGGGCATTGTACATTTCTACTGGGTGCAATAGATGTACTTACATGATTAGCCATGTAGGAAAGCCCTCGAACCCAGTTGTCTGCATCGAAATATGTGTCTCCCCACCAGGTGTTGCCGTCGCCCCCAGAACAACACCATTTGCCGCTAGACATATGGTTGTCAAGATTGACATAAATCTCGTTCTTGGCAAGCTCCTTTGTGACAGCGTCATAGACCTAATTTATCGGCATATCAGTTACTGAAATGACTTCCCAGAACTCTTCAACGGACAAAACCAACCTCAAGTCTCGTTGTACTCTCCGTGAACTGCGGATTATTTGCCAGTACGCTGTTCAGCGCCACAGTCCCATTAGTTGCGCCCAGACCAGCAGTGAATGCTGTTTTGATATCAATATCTTCTCCGTCATTGGCATAGATCTGGTCAATCATTTCAATGGCATAGGTCAGACGAACGGCGTTCATTCCAAGGCTCTTGATGTCGGAAACAATTTTCTCGATAGATTGGTACTGCAATCCTTCAGGGATCATAACTTCTCCGTGACCTGGCCAGTTTGTTCCAGCGAACTTAACGGAAGCTCCAGTCGTGTCAATCATCTTAGGGCCATCAACAACAAAGGGCAAGTTGGGAAAGGCAGTGACCATGCTAGCAAACAATGCGGCCAGAGCCGCGGAAGTATTAAGAAGAAACATAGCGAGTTGTCTGTTGACAGATGTGATCCGTCTTTCCTCTTGGTCGCTGCTGCTTCGCTCCTCTAGCAGGCCGTCTCAGCATTTTATACCCATCTCCTCGTGGCAATCATCGGTGTGTGTTCGTCTTAAACTCATCCTTTCCCCTCTCTGCCGAGCATAATTACTATCCACCTTCCTGCGCTGCGGATATCACCTTCAGCTAGACTGCCTACCCAATGAGAACAATTGGAACGTGCTGGAGCCAAGAATAGAGTCAGGAGATTATAGGCGTAAATGGAACCTCCTCGGCTTGTGACACCCCAATGACATGCCCTTCAATTAAGCGCAACAATCCGCGAGCTTTATCTGCCTTCACCAGAACTTAGCCGGAACCTCAAGATCCACTCTTACGGGAAGATGAAGATCAACCGTTGCGTCACCGTTCAAGGGGAACGCGGGGGTCGGGTCATCACGCGGTTGCTTTTACCCCGACCCCGCGTTTTCACATCGGGTCTGCTGTCGAAGTATCACGAGCCGCACGCTTGAGAGCGGGACACTTGATGAGTTCGGCTGTCACTGAGTTGTGGCGGACTCTTGAGACCCGGGCTGTATCATTCCGAAACAATGACTGGTATCATAATCATGTACGCATTCAAATTCGGGTGCCATCTCATGAATATGTACAAAGATATGTCCCTAATATCTCCCACACCAAGGGCAATTTTCCCGATGCCTATTCCAGCAAATTGCCCAGTCTTAATCAATTCTCTTTACGCCTTTTCAGCTTTCCTAAACTCCACCATGGGCCCATTCTTACCACTTGTAAAGATATCGACAAGCTGATATTCAGACTCGCGATGCCTTCCGTACTCTAGTCGGGGGCTTCCCTCGCCAGGATCCTTCACCCCAACGGCCTTTCTAATGTCAAATGTGTAGATAGTTCTCGCCAGAGTAGTCGTCATTTCATGGTACGCAAGGCCCTTGCCAATGCAGCCACGGGGACCGACGCTGAAGGGGCAGAACGCGCTCTGGGCACGGTGTACATCAGCCTCTGTCGTCTTGACTCCGTCCACGACACTGTTGGCACCGACGATCCAGCGCTCCGGGTTGAAGCGGAAAGGCGAGGGGTAGTAGTCAGCATTGTGGTGAATTGTGTAGTGGGGGACACCGACGACGACACCCTCTGGGATGACATGGCCGTCAATGGTGATGCCGCCAGGGAGGACTTCGCGAGGGACGATGCCACCAACGGAGGGGGAGAGGCGCATGGCCTCGTCGATGCAGGCTCGGAGGTAGGTGCAAGAGGTAAGGGCCTGGCCCTGGACAATTTCCTCGACATCATTGAACTTGCTGCGGACCTCCTCGACGACCTTGCGCAGTGCATGCTCGTTGCGGACAAGATAGAACAGGGTAGCGGCCATAGCAGTAGAGGTTGTGTCTGATCCTGCGATAATACTAAAGGGAGATGGTCAGCCAAAATCAAAAAAAAAAAAAAAGCGAGTTTAGAGGTTTGCTCTCTGGGAGGACTTACAGAAGATTCGACTCGGCCCAGAGCTCAGGTGTGCTGAAGCCTTGGCCAGTTTCAGGGTCACGAGCCTTGAGGAGGTAATAGAAGAAGTCCCTTCGATCCGAATCCTCTCCCATCTTGGTTCGTTCCGTGAGTTGGCTCTTGCTATAGGCCATGTACTTGGCACGCCCAGCGGCAATGTGGGGGAAGAGGAACTTGTCAATCTTAAGAGTATTGATGATTGGCATCGTTCCACACTAGTGTTATCCGCATCAGTCTCTGCTTTTCTCCGCTCAATTAATCAATGGATGGCTTACAATCAAGTGACGGGTAGTAGCAGCTTCAACCAAGTCCAGCGCAAACCGGTTAACAGGGCTCTCAACCATGTGGAACGCCTTTCCGTAGCACAAGTCACCAAGGATATCCATAGCCAGGTAGTTGCACCAGTGGCTCATGTTCCTGGGGACGGTCCATCCTTTGCTATCGGCACTCGCATCGCTGAGGGAGCCGACCTGCTCACAAAAGGCTCTGATGTTGGCGAGGATAAACCTCTCCATGCCCTTCATAGCACTATCACTAAATGCCTGGCTCATAACCCGGCGTTTACGGGAGTGCACCGCCTTGTCCCGTGTGTTGTGTGTGTTGGCAACTGGATGGGCAAAGGCATTGTAGAACTCAGCCTTGCGGACGTTTGATTTGAAACCATAGATGTCCTTTAGGGCGGTATTGGACTTGAAGGTTATGGAATTGGGGCCAAAGCGCACAATGGGGCCATATTTTTCATGTAGGCGCCAAAATTCAAGATGCCGGTCTCCCCGGTATGCGTGGTAGAGCTGATATCCATCCGTGAGTTTGGCAATCAGCGGGCCAGGGTATTTGGAGAGAGGGTGGAAGAATATTCTGTAGATGGCGAGGGTAAGAGACTATCCCTCCGTGTCAGTTTCTAAGATTTGGACATTGAGGTAAAGTAGCTCGGGATTTCCATACGTAAACAACTCCTGCACCAAGCACGACCCCCAGTAGGGACAGGACGTGAAGTGTCATTGGAAATAAAGATGGCGTGGATATGAAGCCCAATAAATTACAGATCAGAGCAGAGGATGGCCAGAAGGCAAAGCAGTCGCCTTTATGCGATTACCAATGATTGATGGGTGTAAGACAGGGTGAGAAAGGTGTAATAAGATAAAGAGAGGAGGGACAGGAACAAAGTAGATTTGGAATGTCAGCCGCTCCCATCCCTTAAGTGCTTCCCAAGGCGTCATGCTCATTTACGTCCACTCCTAGCTCAAAGTTTCCCCGTCTGAGGGTAAACGAGCAACATGACGTGCCACAACAGCAATCTCACGCTGCTCTACTCCGCGATCTAGAGCCGTTGGACCTGGAGATATCGGTTTCGTACGGCAAAGAAGCAAAAGGATCCACTACAGGCCGGTGCCTCTGGGGTAAATGCGGTTAGATCCGGGGTAAGAGGCCCCATTTCTCTCCGCTTACTCCGCGCGGAGAATCGAGACTGGGCGAATCATATTCCACGATCAAGATCTCGTCTCTCTCCGATCCCATCAAATCTACATCTCTCCGATGCTCTCGTGGGGGCCCATGGATCTTGCATGGCCAGGGACAGGCGCAGAAAGAGAAATCCAACGGATGGCGGACTCGAGTGGGTTCGTTCCAATTCTTTAGTGTCGAATCAGCCTCGTTGCATTGTAATAATATCGCAGAAAATAGACTCGAACCGAGAATGCCGAGATGCAGCTAGTACGCCATGGCATTATCTCAACCGATACAGTAGAAACTTTGCATTTCCCACCGGTATGTATAACGCCCACCCCACGACCAAGCCAGTAGCAAGAATTCTCCTGCAGCTTCCCCATGGGAATGGATTGTCCTACTTCCAAGGCTTAGCAGGATGAGAAAGCACAATTAGTTTGCTCCGCGCATGTAAAATTGTTCAATTTAGGCCCAGCCACCGACCAACTTAGTGGGCGTAGTTCTCAGACCGCTCGGCACTCAAGTAGATGCCCTGGTGTATCGCTATCTAAGATTATCATCACCAGACTTGGCTGAAGGGCCCGAGCTAGTGAGAAGCTGCACGATAGCCTTGTTGTCCGTTTTTATTGCATAGTCAATTGGAGTGTTCCCGCCTTCATCATTAGCGTCAACTGATGCACCCTGATCAACAAGAAGCTGCACAAGGGCTTCTGGAGCTGCAACTGCTGCATAGTGAAGGGCTGTTCTACCGCGCTTATCAGGAGCATCAATTGAGGCACCCTGGTCAACAAGAAGTTGTACTAGGGCTTCTTGGCCTGCGAGTACTGCATGATGAAGGGCTGTTCTACCGCCCTTATCAATAGTATCTAGAGAGGCCCCGAACTCAACAAGAAGCCTTATAGTATCATACTGCCCCCCTAATATTGCCATTAAGAGCGGAGTACAGCCAGTTCTATCAACAGCTTCTAGAAAGGCCCCGAGCTCAATAAGAAGCCTTATAGTATTATACTCCCCCCCTGATATTGCCTTTAAGAGCGGAGTACAGCCAATTCTATCAACAGCTTCTAGGGAGGCCCCGAGCTCAACCAGAAGCCTTATAGTATCATGGTTCTGCCGTATTGTTACCATTAAGAGCGGAGTATAGCCATTTTCATCAACAGCTTCTAGGGAGGCCCCGAGCTCAACAAGAAGCCTTATAGTATTATGCTGCTGTCCTAGCGTTGCACGTGTGAGCGGAGTATGGCCATGTCTATCAACAGCTTCCAGTGATGCCCCGAGCTCAACAAGAAGCCTTATAGTATTATGCTTCTGTCCTAGCGTTGCATATGTGAGCAGAGTAAGGCCACATCTATCAACAGCTTCCAGTGATGCCCCCAGTGCGACAAGAAGCCGCATAGCGCCCTCTCTATGGATCATGGATGCCCAGCAGAGCGGTGTTTGGCCAAGTTGATCAGTAACTTCCAAAATTTGGGATCTGTAAATCAGGCCTAGCCTGATAGCGTCTTGGTCCATGTTTGCTGTCCGAGAGACTTCTGTCTTGCCATCGGCATTTGTTTCCTGGACTGCATAGTCTTTGAATAGTTCAGAGAGCAGCTTCTCAAGCCCGAAATATGCCGCGATGTGTAACGCGTTCGGCCTTTCAGGTGCATTGATCAATTGTGCATAATCATCCGAACTTGAATAAGCGTGTATCATGAGCGTATGGCCGGCAGATTCAATCAGTTTCCGATTTCTGAGGAGCCCCAATGCCCTTTCTTCAGTAAAGCTTAGTGCTGTCCGAGTCTGGCCCTCTGATAATAAGACATGAAACCCCCATTTTAGCGCGGCGTATTTATAAAGTGGGTTCGACTGTAACCACCTCTGATAGCTCGCGTTGTCAGGCGATAACTCATCCTCAAACTCCTTATATGAGAGGTATGTAATGCATGTACCCGCGAGAATTCTGTGCCCTTGGCGGCTTAGTGCCATTCGTTCGAAAAATTCGTAGGCGGTGAAATGGACAAGACGTATAACGCTACTGTTTACATCTACCACCACCAGCCCGGCACAGATGGAAATAAAGTCGATTTGCACTAGGTCATCCTTGTCAAAGGAAAGACTGCTTGGTCTCACTGATAGAGCATATCGTAACTCAGTCTCTGAAAGCTGCATTAATGAGTGCGTGATCCATAAAATGACTCGCTTTGCCAAATCTGACACCTGAGGGGACTGGTTTTCGATCCTCTGCAGAGCGATCTCGTAGGCGCTGTCATAGAGTCCTAGTCCATTTGTGGATGTGCATTTTATGGACGAGCGGACGTCTCTAATAGATGTCGTCTCCTTGAGCAAGTCGAGCTGAAGTTTTGTGAGAAGAAACCTAATATTGAGCCAAAGTAAGCCAATGTTGGGAAGAAACCAGGTGTATATCAGAACATACATTCCCTTGACAGACGAAGATATCTCCATGACAAGTTCGTCTCGTAGAGCTGGCTCGTCTCTGATGAATTGTGGCATTTCCGATATGCGCCCAAGTATATATTTTTGCAGGTCGTCTTGTTGAGCAACAATCTCGAGCTTGATAGAGCCTCTCACTTCACACAAAACCTTTTCGATTTCGGGAATGGCACGAGACGTCAAGAAAATATTCACTCCTATCGAGGCCTGCATGTCAAGGATTGCATTCAGGAATCGATCGCGAGAGACATCGGAATTATGGCATTCATCCAAAGCGTCAACAATGACAAAGGCACGAGAGAAGCTTCCTAGTGCAATCTGGACCAGTCCAGATAGCTCTGGAACTGAGGGCCTTGTCCTTAATTTTCGATGGGTTTCGTGAAGCTCATCCAGCTGCTGGGGAGGTGTGGGAAGCAAACCCACCAGCTGTTTGAGAAGACTACACAGTAGCATCTCCGTTGTTTGTTGCTCGTTGCGCTGAAAGTTGCAGAATATGAAGGCAACGCCCAGGGTACGATCATCCCGGCATAAACGCAGAATATCTTCGACTACTATGGAGGCAATCATTGTCTTTCCTGCTCCAGGAATGCCTGGACAATACAATGTGCGGCCGTTGCCGCTCGCCCATGTCCGATACTCTTTGGTATCAAGAAACCACTGGCCAGTTCCGGGTTGTCGAAGCTTAATTATGTCGCTCTGGAGTGGCCCGTAGTCGATCGGTGTTAACCATTCAAGGATTTCGTCAACCTCTTTTCGATGAGCAGTGGCTGTCAGTTTCTGTACATTTTTCTCGGTTCTGGAGACAGATTCCAGCACTATCTTGATCAGCAAGGCGTGGCTTGAAGAAGACATCAGGAGGACTTACCCATCTCTGTGATTCTGCTTTCACAATCTACCTTGCTGGCGGGTATACGATATAACAATGCTTTTGCGTATGCCGCCGCCGCCATTGCCGCGTAGCCCTGCCACGATTTGTTCTTGTGCGTGTCAGAGTAGTCGCATATACCTCGAACAACAAGGAATGGGCACTGATTCATCAGCCCCGCTGCCTCCATTTCAAAGCACAGAACACCAGTCTCTGCTGCGAGTTTATCTCTGATGGAAGCATCTTTTATCAATGCATTGCCTGAAGCTATAAGCCCGTAGTGAACAACCAACGCATCGTCGTCGTCGTCTCTAGGCCGCCTTGCGATAACCTTAGTTTCATCATTGGCATCATCCATTGTACAGCATATTCCATCATGATGAAGATATGCAGGACGATATAGTATATCAGAAGTTGGGTCAGGTCGGGCGTATGATCTTCTTAGTCTTGGTTTCTTCTCGAGGACTGAGTTAACAACATCCTGAAGATTGTGGCCATCGCTAATATACTCTGCTCTGAGCGCGGTAACTGCCGTTCGTACCAGGGCGGGGGGTTGGTTCAAGATTCCCGTTCGACAAAAGCCTTGCTCTTGGATCGACTTCCCAAAGTCGTACTGGATTACACCACCTATCCCATTCCTAGGGGAGCTGACGACGATGTCACCAAGACGGATGTCATTTGCTGCGCTCGGGGCGCCGCCACCGATGCCCACCATCAAGGCGATTCTAATGTTCGTGAAAGTGCGTAGCATGTCTTTGGCAACGCTGGCGGCAGAAGACGTCCCATACTCTCCGTCTGGCAGTACGGCGACAACAACATTGTGCTTTCCTATCTCTCCCAAGGTGTAGATATTGCTGTCATTTGGGGCTTGGGTGTCCGGTCCATCATGAATCTGGTCCAATAGAGCTCGGGCTGCAACATATTCCGTTACAACGGCACATATCCAACCAATCGTGTACTTGTTCGCCATCTTCGGGTGTCAAATATACCTGTTTGGCATATTAACAGGAATGGCATCTGGATAACGATGACTCGTAAGGAAATTCTGATAAGGCAGATGAAATTAGGCACTGAGCAAGGCGTTTTCGGCGGGGTAGCTGACAGCTGGAGCTGAAGATGAGATCCGCAAATCAAAAGCAAGGCGTGCATGCAGCCACCTCGCCCCCATGTAAGACCACATGCACAGTAAGTCATCCGTTCAGACTCGAACAAAAAAGATTCATGTATTACCACTATATGAATTACGTTGCAACCCTAATAGGTATTTACATATAGAAACTCATCCCTAAACCCTCATCTCGCATCCACCTCTTACAAACGTCCGATGCATATATTCATCATCTAGACCTCTAATTGTAGTATCTAGGCTCGTTAAAGACGTGATATCTATGGCCTCTGACACCCTCACCCCTAAATCGGGCAGGGAACTTCCATCCCTCGGGTACCTCGTGCTCCTCGACGCGGCGGTTCCTTTCCTCCGCACTGAGGCTCTTCTGCTGCGCAATCTCGACGTCACTCTGTGGGATCACGAACTTGGCGACTTGCAGCTCCGTGTCGGTGATGGTGCTGCGGCTCACGCGGGCGTAACCGACACGCTTGAGACCCTTGAACAGGATGTATTCGCACCAGCGGTCCCAATCTGTCGGGTCGACGTCGTGCATGCCCGACTTGTCGCTGACGTAGGTGTTGTAGTTGCCCTCGAGAGGCTTGGTAACGAGGTAACTGAGAAGGATAGAAGGACGCGGGGATGAGCCCATGAGGTCGGCCAGGTAGAGGGACTGAAGGCGGCGATCCTCAGGGTCCTCCTCTTGGCCAGAGTGGAAAACGAAAACGTCGACCAATTGGCCATAGACATCAAGGGTAGCGTGGATGGCCGGGGCAAGTTCACCTACTGGGCTAGGCAAGAGGTGGTGTTTAGACTCGACGATGGGGAACTTGGAGAGAAGCACGGCGCCCCATGTGTGCTTGTTGGGGCCCGGACCATAGTCGACATACATACCGAGATCCTCGGCAAGGAACTGAGAGCTGTCTCGGTTGCCCATGATGATGCGCTGCTGGTCTGTCTCGAGCAGCCCAACCACGTCAAGTTCAGCCTCCTTGATTAGATCACGCATGCGGTATTCGGAAGACCACATGTCATTATCAACGGAGAAGTGAATGGTCCAGATACCAGCAGTAAGGACTCGGTCCTCCGGATGGTAAGGTTTATAGTCGTTCGTGGGGAAACGCATGAACGCGCCACAAAGGAAGACGATATTGATGAACAGAGTGCCAACGCCAAAGTACTTCTTATGCTGAGAGGCAGACGGGCGCTTGGCCTGCTGGCGGCGGGGCTTAGAGTTGTTGAAGTTGTATACACCAACACCAAGCAGAGCCATCATAGTTATCATGACCCAGTCAGTGTGCTCACGGACCAGAGGTCCACCGGGGACAAAGGCATAAGCAACGACCCACACGTGGAACAGAACCATGATGTTGTAAATGAGAAAGCCGATACCAAAGCTGATAGCCGGGCTCTTCTTGGTCGCAGCCTGGATCAAGGGCACGCTGACCGAGGTAAGATAAACAGTCAAAGCCAAAGCGCCATAGTAACCAACCCAATGGCTAAAGAAAGTCAGGGTCATAGCTCCCGCAGTACCAATGAGATAATGCACCCAACCACCTGCCTCGCTGGGTCGCAGAAGCCCGGCAAAAATTCCAGCCGACATGGCGGCGAGGGTGAACCAACCATGTGTAGAAAAGTACGGGCCACGGATAGGGAACCCTTCCCACACCCACAGGATCATGGTGCTAGTATCAGAGAGAAGAGAATGGAGGCCGAAGAAAAGACCGCCAATGCCACAGGCAGCGAGCAATGCAGAACCCTTTTGCTGGTTACTGTCGGAGACATAACCACCCGTTATAGGTGCCTTTCGGGTGAAACGAAGCACCGCGAGGACACCTAAAACAAGACCGGTGCCGTTCCATCCACCGTTCTCAGCGTGCATGATGGGCCAAATCGGGTTGTTTGTGTGCCAAAGAAATTTGGCTGTGGAAGATAAGATGAGGCCAACAATAAGACCGAGGATCTTAGACTCAAAGCGAACATCATGAGCAGATTCTGCTGCAAACGTTGCGACCCAACCCAAACAAGACATGGCCACACCGAAACCCAAGGTGCAAAGGCGCTTCGTCGGATCAGTGACCAGATAAGAGGCAATGCCGGCCAGGGAGAGAAGGTGAATAACACGCTGATTCTGAATAAAGACGGATCGCAGGGGTCCAATGCCGAAGAACAGGGGGGAGATGGTGGACATGACGAATGCCTCAAACCCGGAAATGCCCATGTACCAAAGAGGAAAGACTGATCATGTTAGCGTAAAACCATATATATTATTTTGGGGCATTCTCTTCAGCCTTACACCAAACAACAAGCCCGAGGCTGGTCAAAGTAGTCCAAAACACAAACTGCAACACCGTCAGCGCTGGTTACTGATAGGGCTGCAGGGGCCACCCTTACCCCATGGTAGATATCCGCAGCAGTGTCAAACACCTCCGCCCAGGTAAATCGACCAGAGTAAATCCCTGTGCCGTATTTCTCCTTCCTGGAAAGCCAGTTAACGCCGGTAAATACGCGATCAGGGCATTAAACTTACTCCTTTTCCTGTACGGCGGAGGAGACCGAGGAACTGTTGTCACTGCTACACACTTAGAATATGGCCCAATCAAGAAGATGTTTATTTCGGTCACAAAATGCGGCTAACGAGGGAGCTATCTGGGGAGCCATTGCACATACCCCTTGCTGGACCCCTTGACGTCCTTGATGGAAATCTCAAAAGTCCCGAAATCGAGAGCAGTCACGGCATCGAAAGCTACATCGAGAACAATCAATGCCCATTCGAAGAATGCATAAGTGGTGTATGCTAATGAGAGTTGGTTAGCCATGTCGATAATAACGATATCCGAACTGTTCGAGGAAGAGAAACTTACCACCAGCAACGCGGTGGACCTTGTGCTGAATAAAGAAGTAGATCAAGGGGACAAGAGTGCCAAAGAAAGCACCAGCAAGGTACTTGCGGTACTTGATCGCGGTTGGGTTCGCCGGGCTAAGGGCAATACAGCCAGTTGTCCAAGGGAGAGTGGCGACGATGTATGAGATCATGAGAATATCGTGCCAGTCGTGGTCGTCGGTCGAGGTGATGTAAGTCCATCCTCCACATGTTAGAGTGCGGAGAACACCCATGGCAGCAACAAAGCCCGGTAGCTTGTGACCAGGTTTTCGAGATAAAAGGTACCACAATCCAACGAGCGCAAAGCGAGGGCCTGAATATCGCAATCGATGTCAGAAAAGCGCCGGAACCAGATCCGAAGTACAACATACCAGAAGTGATGGCAATGAAGATCATGAAGAATGATCGTTCGGGGTATCGATCGCCAATGGTCGCGGAAACCGAAGGGAACCATTCGTCTGGGTATCCGTAGAACTCATTCTGGACAATCTTGTGGTAATGAAGGGACACGCCAACAACGAAAGCACTAATGAATGCGCCTAGAGAGTATTGATTGTTAGCAAACCAGGCGAAAGAAAACATAGCTGGTCGTGAGACGTACTGGCTGCCAGAATGGTATGCGCCCAGCTTACCCAGACGCCGCTGAACGACAGGGCAATGCCGGCATCCTTGTCCTTGTATTTAGACGCCATGATGACGGCAATGAAAGAATGAACACAACTCGTCACAAATTAAAGAAAGACAAGAACACCAACAACAGGAAGCAATCCCATTGAAAGGGAGCAGTTGTTTACAGAGAGAAGTGTGATGGAGGGGTGACGAAGGGAGCAGACAGACAAATAATCGCTGGAAGCCTCGGAGCTCTGTCACGTTCCTTCAGGAGCTTTGACGCGCCATGATTCGCGCAAAACGGGGCGCCATGGCTATTGTGGAGTTGCAAACAGGGGCCAAACAGGGGCCAGAATTTAAAGAAGCGCCTTACGTGTTTAAAGGCGTATAGACAGTGGTGATCTGTGGCTGAACACACGCAATTTGTGGCTGAACACCGATGGGCTGGGCTGTGGCTAGTACATGGAGCTACTCCATCACATCTCCACTAAAATTTTCCAGAGAGCGACCATCGATAAAGAAAATCTTGCCTCGTCTGCCATGCGCATCACTCCTGCCAACAAGACCAATCCCAACATTCCCGTTACTCTTGCTCACAGGAGGCGAATTAATTCTAACAAAAATGTCGGGGGTGGCAGAGAAAGCAAGATTCTTTCTTGAAAGGTCCGTCCCACAACTGCGAGAATGGGAACAAAAGGAGCTTTTCTCCAAGGTACGCATATCCTTCCTGGTTCTCTCTGGCGGTGCGCCAATGACCCGAGTTGAGGTGAATGAAGCAACTTTATGATTGTCGGCTAACCATGCTTCCAGGATGAGATTCGCACCATTGTGAAGAAGCGCAACGATCATGAGCACCGAGTGCTTTCCCCCGGGAATCGAGCTTCCGACTGGGCATCCTACGCAACCTGGGAACAATCGCTTGAGTCGTTGCGCAGCAAGCGATGCAAGCGTATGAAGATCCGCCATCTTAACTCTGCCCACGCCGGGCAAGGCCGTGTACTCTCCATCTACGATCGAGGCGTCAATCGTCACCCTACAAGTTCTGCTTTGTGGCGCGAGTACCTTGCCTACACAACAAATGTCAAGGCAGCAAAACGTTATCGGCGGACCATGACGAACGCCCTGCGAATGCTGCCAAATGATGTGCAGCTGTGGATTATGGCTGGAAGAAGGGCCGCTAAGAATGGCGACATGGCCTCAGCAAGAAGCTTCTTCATGCGAGGATGCCGCTTTTGCACAAAGGACGGGTCGCTTTGGATCGAGTACGCTCGATGCGAGATGGAATGGTTGGAGAAGGTGGATAAGCGAAAGAGCAAGCCAGGAACCATCGATCCTCTGCGCCCGGATAAGACGACTGGTGATGACAATGAGCTTGTCATTGACGATAGCGAGGACGAGGATGAAGATGATGGCACGGTACTCCCTGAGCCCTCCACCAACCAGGCTGAAGTCATCGATAAACAGACCGCCAAACAGCTGCAGAACAATCCTGCCCTAGATGGTGCCATCCCAATCGCTATTTTCGATATTTCACGGAAGCAGCCCTTCTTCACCCCAGACACCGCGGAGGATTTCTATATCATGCTGGCATCTTTCCATAACGTTTCTGTGCAGCCAAGGATAGCACAGCACGTTCTGGATACCCTTGAAACCGAATACCCCAAGCACCCAGCAACTTGCAGTTGCCGTATCAGACAACCAATTCTCAACGTGGACCCTATGACAGCGGAATTCCCACGACAATTGAGAGAGGTACTCTCGCGATTGAAATCGCAAATAGAATTGACGGAAGATCAGTCTGCATTGAAGCGGAAGACGATCGTATGGATCGACGAGTATTTGGCACTCGAGCACCTGGACGAAGCCATCCGAAAGGTCTTGAGTCACACAAAAAATAAGTTGGAATCATCATAATGGCGCTTGCAGCGATTAGACAGTTCAACCCATGATTTAAGATTTACAATTAGACAAGATACAACTTAACCATCTCGATTCGATTGCCACTCTAGATATACCAACTCATTGATAAATTATGTACCCCAAGTGAAATTACGGCGAGGTCTCCACTTTGCCGGTCCTTGTGGAGACTGCCGCGGCCTCCGCCGATGTGGGCAAGCATCTACCTCCTCCTGCCTATCCGTCATTGATATCGACGAAAATCATTGAAATCTTCGACAGATCACTCACCCGAGCAGTCGATGATTCTTCACATGCTGGAGCCATGCGAAGCACTGCACCTGTGAAATGGCTCAAATGAACAAAACAGCATGCTTCCATTGCTCAATACCAATCATCCTACAGTAGAATCTTATTCGCCATGAAACTAGCTTGACTCAAGCCAAATCCTAATTCAATAAATCTCACAAAATACCTTACACAACTCATATAGTAGGGCAATATTTGACAATAAAAATTCCACTCCTTTTTCATACTCGGTAGGGTTGATATCGCTTCATGATATACTTCACCAGATGTATAGGTTAAAGTACCTCAAGCATTGAAAATATAGCACAGCAACTTCTATAGAGGCATCATGTTTACAATTCGCTTTTGGACTTTCCGTATACATTGTAGTGATATTGCCTCCTAGACTGTTCTTCTACTTGAATCCAGATTGTCTGCTACAGGATGTATCTTGCGGGAAAGCCGCACCATCCCTCTCCCTCATTAAATTATCACATAAACGACAACGTATCCCTTATAATCATGAATGCTTCTAATATACCAAGCAATAACAGAGATGTTTTAATGGGCGCCATCTAGAAATGTAGTTGATGTGACCCCAGTCGAATGTTTCAAGAACCGTGTATATAGCAGTCCTGCATAAGTGCGCCCAGCGTAGATTCACTTAGGAAGAACCAAACTAGATATCCTCTCTCTTCAGCCTCAGTAGAATTCCACGAATTGTTCCTCGTGTCGGGAGCTACAGGCTTAAGAATAGATACATCTATCAACCTCGAGCTTATTACAGCCCGTAACAACTTTAGGGTACATAGCACACCCTTGGTTAATACTATATTAGATTAGAAGAAACTGTTAAATCAAGGATATAATTTCATTGAATTTAGTCTATAATTAAACCTGAAATAGTAGAAAGAATCTCTTACGAGGTATAACAACTTAATCTTAAATATAAATGAGGAAGATCTAAATATAACGAATACATTATCTCTTATATCCGTTGCCTTCTCTTTATTCGAAATGTAGCTCAAGTTCAGGAATTTCGCGCTTACACAGCCTCAACCGAGGCAACAGTCATCTCAAATAAGGACGAATCGTCAGATTATTTTTTGAATTGTTTTATTTTTAAAGCGTGGTTCCTTCAATTCAGGGATTCAATAAGTATTATTATTACGAACAAAGGCCTCTATAATAGGTTATATGGTTATATATACCCTACTGTCCGAAGGACAGGAGTAATAGGAGTATTATACTCCTATCGCGGGATATAGCTAGATCGCTAGGAGTAGTATACTTCTTATACTCTATAACTATTATATATATATATTTATTTTATTAGTTAGAATACCCCTTCAGATAGTTATTAATATAATTATCTCTGTATCTATTATTACTAGCTCTATAATATTTATATATTAATAGTAACTTATATTATACAGCCTAAGATAATCTGATTATACTACTCAGAATAACTCTCTAATTAGTTTAACCCTAATCTACTCTAAACCCCGTTTAGTATAAGTTAATCTAACTATTATATATTAATAACTCTTATTCAGCTAATTACCTTATCTTAATTACTATATAATAATAAAGAAGATATTATAGTTACTATAGTTCCTTCAGTCTAATAGTAGAACCCTATTACTAATAATCTACCTGCTCTAAATAATAATAATACTATAGATAAAGATAGTAATAATAGTAGTAGTAATAGAAATAATAATACTAAGCTTAAGCTCCTATAAGCCTAGATCCTCTAGCTTTAGGAATACCTTATAGCTATATAGTAAGAAATAGCTACTACTACTATTCTTATAGGATAGTAAACTATTTAGAATACTAATCTTTAAGCCCAGGCTCAGACTATAGCCTAAGAAAGGGAGCTAGAAGTATTATTTAAACTACTACTACCTAAGATATTTAATAGAACCTAAGATAAACTTTAAGACTTTATAACTTAACTTTAAGTATACTTTAACTATTTCCCTATTACCCTTAATAGTAATAAATAATAAGTTATATATATCTATTTATAACTTAAGGGAGCTATACTTAATTAGTTTAAACCTATTATAAGGGAATACCTTAATAGTTAAAGGAGCTAATAAACTATTAATATTATAATAAGCTTTAACTACTTTATAGAGACTTTCTAATAAACCTTTAGAATCTAAGATAAGAGGTATAAGATAGAGTATAAAATTAATAAACTCTTATAGATAGAACCTATTTCTATATTTAGTAGTAGGTATCTCCAGCTTCTAATAAAGACTGGATAGGACTAGAAGTATACTATATCTTATTATTTTAATAGATTAAAGAAAGAAGTTCAGAAGGAACTCTATAAGGAAAATAGACTAGTAAGTATTTATAAATATATAACTATAGCTATAAGAATTAATAATTAATAGTATTATTAGTATACTTATAGTAAAAAGATAACCTACTATACTAATACTAGTTAACTATAATAATAGTAGTAACCTACAGTCTCTGGGATATATATAGGTCCTATAGAGCTAGGAGCTATAGAAAAATATAAATATTATAACTATAATAAGATTAGATATATTTTACTATAATATCCTAAGCTAAAAAAGCAGAAGAACTGAAAACCTGCTAAAGAAGGTAAGAAATAATTAGAAGTAACTAGAAAAACTGAAACTAAGATACTTAGAATAATTAGAAAGGCTACTTAGGAAGGAAACTATATAGTTACTATAGTATCTATATTTTCTAGAAAACCTATATTAAAATTCTATAAGATACTAGAAACTAGTAATAAGAAGAAAGAATAAATAGTATTAGGAGAAAATTAATAGTATATTATATATATCCTCCGGGAACTTAAAAAGAAGTTTAAAGATAGGAAAGATATTATAGATATTAGATCTCTTACTAAATATAAGTATATATTCTGCTATATAAACAGACTTATTAAATATACCCCTAAAGAATAAGACTAATATATATTTACTAGGGATAAGATTAAGACTAAATATAATAAACTCTATATCTACTATTAATAAAAAATATAAATATAAAACCTTAAGAAGATATATAGAATAGTATTATATAGAAGGGATACTATAGATACTATCTGATACCCTAGTAATAGATATAAGAATCTAATATATATAAATACTAGCAGAAGGTATAACTATAGATTAGAATCCTAGATAATATACTATAATATCTGGTATACTATATATTAGTAAGAAAAAATATTAAATAACTTTTTTCTATTTCCTAATAGAAGAATATCTAGAAAGTATAGTATAATTCAGATATAATAATTTACCTACTAATACTATAGAATAGGATTCTATACTATCTTTAAGGAAGATCTAAGGGAGTACCCTAAGGAGTATATAGAAGAAGAACTTCCAGTAGAGATATATTAAGAATAGAAATATAAGATTTATAAGAATAATAAGATTGAATTATAATATAACTACTAATAAGCAGAAGATCAGGTAATATATAAATATAATAGCTATATTAAATAATACTATAATTAGAATTATAGAAACTATTAAGAGATTAAGTAAGAAGTACTAATACTAGTATAGAATAGTAATAATAATATAAATACTGCTAAATTATACCTTAAATAGTAATAACTATAGGAGGAAGAACTCTGAGAATATTACTTAAAAGGATAACTATCCTCTATAGATAGTAAAGATAGTAGTAAAATAGAGGAATAAAGAATAACCTTAACTAATAAAAAGAAATAGGATAAAGCCTACTCTGATAATAGGATATCTATAATAATTAAGAAATTATATAATTAGAGAATTAAGTTTATAAGATATATCCCTAGTTATATAGAAGAACCTGAAAATCTTAAAAATATCCTTAAATAGGTACCTAAGAATAATAAAGATTAGAAGTAACTTTAAGAATAAGTTAACTAGATAAAAAATAATCTAAACTATCTATAATAGGGCTATAGTATAGTATAATATTAATAATAGATCAGAGGACCCTAGGAGCTATAGAAGTAGGAAGCTCTATATATATCCTTATAGAAGTAGAGATTAAGAGGAACTAGCTTATAGTATTTATTAACTATAAAGTATAGGAAAATTATATCTTACTAGTAGTAATTAACTAACTCTACCTACTATAGAAAAAGAAGAAAGAAACTTATATAGTTATAAATATTAAAGGATTAAGATTTAAATATAATAATAGGATTATTAACTCTAAGACTAATTATCTTATAATTAAAATCTAAGAAAAGAAATTTAATATTACCTATAATCTAATACTACTAGAATCCTATAATATTATATTAGAACTCCTATAGCTTTAAAATATAAATCTACTAATTAATTAGTATACTAGCCAGATAGAGTAAAGGGATACTCTTATATACTAATATCAGGATTAATAAAAATTAAAATTTTATTAGATATTAGAAAAATATATTTATTTCTTAATATCTAAAAGTACTACTATAAAAAACTATAATAACTTATAATAATAAGTAGATATAATAGTATTAGTCTTAATAGTACTATAATCTAGTATAATAAGGAATATATTATAATAAGAATTAAGATAAATAATATAGATCTTAGGCTGGATATAGAAATAAGAATAACCCTTAGATATAGATTTAGTATCTATTAATTAGGAATAATTAATAAAAGAATAATAATAAGAATATAAAGTTAAGTATAGTTAGTAGTAGAAGAAAATAGAAAAACTATCTCTAAAAC